GCAAAGCTGAGTTTACCCTTCCAGATGTGACTTGGTCTCCTGAAGATGAGATCTGCCATACATTCCACATCTAGAAGGGTCAGTCCTGGCCTCACCACAGTATCATAAAAGCAGTGAAGGGACCTTTAAAGACCTTCTAGTCTAGCTCCCTTGCAATGAACAGAAACTTCTGCAGCTCCATCAGGGACATCTACAGCTAGATGCAGGCCAGGCTGTAGTTGGTCTTCAGCCATACCACCTCTTGACATGGCAGCCAGGAACATGGAGGGAATGCCCCATTCAGGTGTAAGGGATGTCAGCTTTTCCAGATCCACATCCAAACTCAGAGTGCTTTTGCTCTTGATGATAATAAGAGTGCTTGTGCACTTCTGTTACAGGTGGCATCCGAAATGGGTCATATGACATTGGCATGGCTTGTGGGTAAGCATATCTTTTTATGGCACTTGCTTAGGCTTCCTGAAAGTAGTGCTATGTCCTTCTGCTTGTGCATGAGGAGTTAGAGATCCCTTCCAAGCAGATCTATGTTCCTCCCAAGAAAGAGATGCTGTCATTCAGAGAATGGATCTCTGAAAGTCACCTAGTCCAACCTCTGCTCAAGGATATCTTGCATTTTCCAGGGATATTTTCTTCACAGCTTGCTCTTTATTAATGTATTTATGTGGCACAGAGTAGAATTCAAACTCTCTTCCCATCTTAGGCTTCATGATCTGGGTTGACTGTACACAAGCTCGTTAGTCTAAGCGGTGGTTTTATATTTAGATGGTAATATTGGGTGTTTTCAATCTGCTCACTCACTTGTAGGTCAAAGACCATGGGATCCACATCTGAAATTCTTTGTGTTGCGAAATGCAAATGGCACAACTCGTTCATGTTTCTTTGTCATGGGTTGCTTAATACTTACATTGTTATGCTGCCAGTGGGTTTTTAAGCTGTACCTGGCTATCATAGAATCACTGACTCACTAAAATTGGAAAAGACCTCTAAAGTAATCTAGACCAACCATCCATCTACCAACTACCAATATTGCCCACTAAACCATGTCTGAAGTCCCACATTTCCATGTTTCTTGAACACCTCTGGGGGTGGTGACTCAGGCACCTCCCTGGGCAGCCTGTGCCAGTGCCTGACCACTCCTTTGGGTGAGATTTTCCTAACACCCAACCTAAACCTCACCTGGCATATCTTAAGGCCGTTCCTTCTCATCCTATTGCTGTTATGTGGGAGAAGAGGCCAACCCTTACCTCACCACAGTCTCCTTTCAGGCAGTTATAGAACCTTGGGTTTCTCATCACATCTGAAGACAAGTGCAAGGATGGTCAGCAATTCCTTCCTTGGTATAGAACATGAGAAATTAACTGTTGACATTGATACGGTATTGTATAGCAAAACAAAGACCAATTTAGTCTGTTTTAGTTTTGTGCTATAATTGTATATTGATGCTTGAAGAGCTTCTGCCTTGGGCAGTTTTTATATACTGGTTGTGTTTCTGTAGGGAGATAGGGAAGAATGCTGTTGAGTAACTGAGTTTTGATGGGTCAGAAATGGACAAACATTAGAAATGGAAGCAGCAGTAGTAACTTCAGCTCTTTCCTGTGTTTAGTGTGGAAACAATGTCCCTCCGAAGTGGAAATAATCCTGGTGACATCAGCTCCAGCATGATGGAAAACAGCAAAGCTCGTGATTGCCTTATTCCCATGGGGTAGGTACCAAGCAGTTCCATGTTGAGAAGTCTGCAGCTAGCTTCAAGATTGAAGCCACTGCCTGTAGCTTGGGTTGTTCTGGCAGAAGCCAACTGCAGCATCACTGGTTGTGTCATTGGATTCTTTTTGCTGATGTTGTTTTCCCCAGAATAACCTCAGAAAATGTGGCAGAGAAGTTTGGAATTTCCCGAAAGAAGCAGGATGCCTTTGCCTTGGCTTCCCAACAAAAGTAAGTGCCTTCTATTTTATCTTTTTAACTTTTGGTTAAGGAACAGAGATAGTAAAACAGATTTTAAAAACCCAACAACAACAAAACATTGCTCCTCCCGTAAGTAGTTAAGTATAGACTTCATCTTGGCTTTCAAAACTTGATGCCATGGAATCATTAGGGTTGGGAAAGACCACTGAGATCATCAAGTCCAACCATCGTGTCCAGAGTGGTGTGCTAAGGAAGCCAAAGCTGCACTGGGAGGTGTGTGTTCTTGCAGACACATCACTAGACATACAACTTTGAGCACTGAGTGCACCTGTATTTATTATAATTTAAAGGATACAGCTGTCATGGGGTTTCATAGTATTTTCATAGTGGCTTTGGCTCAGTGTCATTTTAAACTGAACATGAGTGCTGCAGCAGAAGGAATCTTTCCTAAGAGGAAATATTTGAAAGCAGCTGTTTGTAGAGAACTGCTGAGCTGATATGAGTGGCTTCACTGTGCTGCAGGTGTTTGGCTTCAAGTGAGCCCAATTCTGCCTCCAGTAACCTTTCTCTTAAGTTAAACCATTGCCAAAGTAAGCAGACTCCTGGAGTCCCTGGGGCTTGTGGAGGTGGGTGAGACATAAAGCTAGTGGCATCAAAGAGTTAATCTGACTTTCAGAATCCTGTTTGAGCATCATCCCGGTCCAATTATTTATCTAATACAGGAAACCACTGCTCAGGCCAGTTAACCTTTACATTCTGGCTGTGCTTCTAAGGAACTTGGCATGCCAGGCGTTCTCATTGACATTGAACTGATAGCACAAAAGGGTGTGTGAACATGATCCTCACCTCTCACCTGAGGAAGAAACAATTTTCTGGCCTTTGGCTCAGGATGTCTGTGGGCTTACTGAGCTGTCCTTCAGCTCTTACTCCACCTTATTTGGAAATATTAAATATTTACATTTTATGAATTCAAATTGAAAAGGGATCTCGCTCAGAAGTTATTTTAACCTTCTGTGCTTTTCTTTTAACAGAGCAGCAAAAGCTCAGCAGATGGGACTTTTTAAAGCTGAGATTGTCCCAGTGAAGACCACTGTTATAGATAACGAGGGCCACCAAAAGACAATCACTGTGCACCAAGATGAAGGGGTGAGGCCCTCCACGACCCTGGAAGGTTTAGCAAAGCTGAAGCCTGCCTTCAAGGAGGATGGCAGCACTACAGCAGGTCAGCTCTGTTGTTACATTGCTGTCATTCCCCTGGCTTGCCTGCCTTCCCATACAGAGTGCAGGCAGAGGAGGTGCTCATAGATTTCTTCCAACAGGTAACGCCAGCCAGGTCAGCGATGGAGCGGCTGCCGTCCTGCTGGCAAAGCGCTCCAGAGCCACGCAGCTGGGACTGCCCATCCTGGGAGTGCTCAGGTCCTTTGCTGTGGTTGGAGTCCCCCCAGACGTGATGGGCATAGGGCCAGCCTACGCCATCCCTGTTGCTGTGCAGAAGGCGGGTAAGGAACCGGCCATCACTCGCACAGTGTTCAGCACGAGGCTGAGCCACACTCTGACTGAAATCTGAGGGGATTTTGCTAGCAGCCAGAGAAACAGCTTACATTCAGAACCTTGAAAGAGGTCCTAGGATCACTCTAATACTATTAACTTCTGAGTCATTGTCGTGTGCTCACCTTTGAGAAGCTCAGGATTAAAGCCCTGCACACTCACAATGAACTGTTAACATGTGGCACGTGACTTAGTGTTCACATAGTGCTATTTTCACTTAGTGCTTTTTTCACTTAGCGTACCTACAGTGTGTGTGTGTGGTTTGCTTGTTTGTGTTCTGGCTTTCTTTATAGTTTTGGCATCTGACCCATGGAACAGGCTTTCCTCAGGTTTTTACCATACTCACAGGGTTAAATAGCTCATGATTATTCTTGTATCTCCCTGTCATCACTGTGGTTATAGGCTTGGCTGTACTGTCACCTTTCTGTCTCAAAATACTCTTCAATCCTTAACCTCTGTGCAAAGAAATCAAATTTAATTGATGTCTTTTCAAACTCAGTGATAGGATACCAAGGGCTGTGATGTTTTGCAGTCTTTAGATACTGTTATACATAAACATGCATGTGAATGTAGACACCTCATGGGGAGCCAGGGTCCTCTCCTTTTGCTGCTAGTGGAGTAGAAGTAGAATTCATAAATGAAGACTTCAAGTTATTCCCTTTGATGCAAGTGATAAGGCAAAAATATCTTCTAAATCTTTACTTTTCTGAACTGTAGGTCTGACTCTGAATGACATTGATATATACGAAATTAATGAAGCCTTTGCAAGCCAGGTGAGTGATCATCATCACTTTGAGCCATTATGTTGTTTTGAAACGTTACCTTTCACTTTGGTCTCAAAATTAAGATTTGAACTTGTTCCATGTATTACATTTCTCTGGCCAAATGTTAAGAACACGTACAGGCTACTTTCATTAAGTAGAAATAAGCAGGGCAGTCTATGTAGCTTAGGATTGATTAAAAAAAATAATCAGACGACTCTCCACCAAGTATAGAGAATGTGAACCTTACGGTTGTATCCTTACACCAACTTGGGAAGTTGCTGTTTCACAAGGGCTGTGATTTGTAACTGGGTGATGTCAGCGTGTTGCAATTTCAGCATCCTTAATGAAATGAAGAAACTTTGCTCGTGTCTTCCACAAATATGTGCCTTGCCTGTTGAAAGTCTGTGGGCTCATTTGAGATGAAGGTTGATAGGTTTAGCTTGCTTCATGTGTTTTGGCTTTGTGACGTAGTTCCCTGCCTTCCAGGGTCTAGCTGATGCCAGGCTGCTAAAACCTAACTGCTTAATACTAAAATCCTTTCAAAGCAGCTGACACAACAGTGTGGGTTTTATGTCAAAGAAAACATAATCGAGCTAAGTTCATTTTGAGCACAGATCTTTGGAAGCACCTAGACCTGCCTAGGACTGTCAGCCCAGCTCTTTGTGTATGGAGGAGATCACCAGTCTGCTCTGCAGCCCTCTGAGCTCTCTGCTGCAGGAGAGCTGAGAACTAACAGGTGAGAGCATCTCTATGAAACAATCCCCTGTCTTTACAGGCTGTGTACTGCATTGAGAAGCTGGGCATTCCCCTGGAGAAGGTCAACCCCCTGGGAGGAGCAATAGCACTGGGGCACCCGCTGGGCTGCACTGGCGCTCGTCAAGTTGTCACTTTGCTCAATGAATTGAAGCGTAGAGGGAAAAGGTGAGCACCAAACAACAGTACTGGCCTTCAGTGTATCCAGAGGTAATTTAGGCATGGCATTGGTTTGGGTTTTGCCCTTCTCCCATTGCTTTGATAGCTTTGAACATGGAGTTAGAATTTTATGGTGACACTGGAGAGCGGTGGATAGCTGGAAGTTATTGGATTTCTTTTCTTGCCAGGTGGTACAAGCCTGATGTTTATCCTAATTCTCTGTATTCTTTCATTTCAGAGCATATGGTGTTGTATCAATGTGCATTGGAACCGGCATGGGAGCTGCAGCAGTATTTGAGTATCCAGGGAACTGAACTCCAGCATACTGACAGCCCAACACAGCAGTTCATTCTCTGCCTTCTCCAGTACTAGCAAATGATTTGCACTCTGAAATCAAGTGGATTCGGGTTTTTGTTACTAGATTTACAAATTTCAGGCACAAAGTACAATGAATCATACGGGGCTGATGTGCAAGTGGGAGAATGAAAACCAGCACCTGCTTCAGAGCTGAAAAGCAACCTAACGAGAGAAGGAATGAGTTCAGCTGAAGTTCAAATATAGGCCCTACAGTGATGATTATTAACGAATACTTCTAATCTAATTCATCTCTTTATTCTGTGAATATTATCAGTGTAGTTCATTGTACTCTTTCCTTGTACGACAAATCTAAAACTGCTTCCCAAAATGAAAATGTCATTGCAGAGGAAATGGCCTTCCTAGCGTTTTCTTGAAGAATTCACCATCTTGCAGGAGGTCTGGCAAGGCTGGTTTTGAAAGACTTCACGTTTCCTTGATAACCTAAGTGCACCTGCCCACTGTGTCATAACTTGGCTAATGTCTTAAAGCCTCCATATGCTGCAAGATGTACTTCAGCTTTGTATATTTTTCTCTTAAACCACACTGCTCTCAGACTTCCAGCGGGGCAAAATGGAAAGGGCAGAAAGTCATTTACCCAGGAGCAAGGTACAAACAAGCTGTTGGAGTGTCTGAATACAAAGGTGCTGAAGAATTGAATAGAAACCAGGAGTTTGAAAGTGGCCATTCCAGCTGGTCCAATGTATTTCTGTGAGCTTCTATGACTAACTTAGAAGACAAGTTTCAGCCTAATGAGTTATTCTTTATATGAAGCAGATTTCAGCACTACATGAACTTCGGCAACATCTCAGTACATCAGTGCTAATACTGATTTTGTCTTGTAAAATCTTAAATTATCTGTTCTCCTTCTTGGGAACAAAAAGATCAGTGAAATTCTCAGCTAATAGACTGAAAAAGAAATGCAGTAATCACCTTTGACACATTAGAAAGTTTAAATTTGTAACAGACTGAGGTTCTTTGTCCTGGATCTTGTCTTTGCACTTAATAATACAGTTGTTCTCCTGCACTATGTTTGCATTCTTTTTATTTTGATTGTTATTTGAAGGTCAGGACTAGCTAGAGCCATTTGATGTTCTTCCATTCCTGCATTAGTCTCACCCAACAGCTTCATATGTATTCACAGCTCAAAGATGGAATTATTTGTGGGGGTAGAGAGGCAGTAGTAGCTTCAGAGTCATTTGTGCACACTAAGGTTACTTCCTATGTACAAAGTAAGTTCTGCTTTAAAGCAGGCAGAAGGGAGATACCATCTTCTGTTCTCTTCCAGTGTAGATTGCAGCCCCTTCCTCCCCTCACTCAATGGGAGTAGAAAACAACCTGAGAAGTGGGAGTTTCAGTGACCTTTAGCTGAAGTAATACTAAAAACATCTGAAGAGATGTCTATGGGAACCATAGGCAAGGAAGGAATTAAAAGGCAGAAGGGTTTCTCTTTCCAATAGCTGAAGGGGCTCTTCTCAGTACCCCAGCATGATGAAACATACAGGAGGCCGTGGGAAGTTAAGTTGGCTCTGTGGCTTTGCTCATATTCATGGAAGGTGCTGAGAAAACAGCCCAGGAATGCTGTCCTGTTCCCTAATTGTCAAACAATGTTCCCTCCCCCCATAAAAGGGCAAAACAAAAACTTTTTTAAAGCAGTAGTTTCAACTGTAATTTGCAGCATATTTTGCTGAACACTGCTTTGGCCTAACAGTTACCATGGCTGGCAATTTAAAACATCATTTTGCAGAGCCTGGCTCTGCTGGTAATGATAAGCTTATCACAGCAATACAAGTCACAGCACAGGATAGGATTACGACTTTTCAAAGCACCATGAGTGGGTATTTTTCTCCTCATAACTTTTTATTCTGCTAAAATTTCAGTCCATGTGTAGCAGCTGAAATGAATGAAAGTACAGGCTCAGCTTATACTGGTTTTGCAGCTGATTTTTTACCTTGGCATTTGTCCCTCGTTGTCTTGCTTCAGTCAATACATGTCTTCATACTTCCCATCGTATGTTCCTTGTCCCCTGATCTGTAGCTTGCAAGGCTTCTCTCCCAGGATCCCAGTAACTGTCAGGATTGTTTCATATTCAGTGTCACTCCTAAAATGGAGAGAGGGAAGACATAAACCGCTACAGCCGGACCCATCTCTGTTTCAGGATGAGATCAGCTTCCTTGCAGAAGGAAAAGGAGAGACTAAGGAATGAGCTGTTCCTCATCACTAACACTTTCCAACAACAGTGTGGGACAGGGACCTGGCTTCAGGTTCATGTCCTCTGGCTACATAGGGAGTGTTTTAAACAATGCTAGTCTCTACCTCACAAGGACTGTGGGTTATTGCTTTCATCAGTGAAAGAGGAACTTGATTGCATTCCTAGCTGTGGAAGTCAATTTGAGTTAAAGAAATAACACGAAGCTCTCCTGAGGGAGCAAATTGTTGGGGAGCAAATGCATGCACTGCTTTGATGTGATGATGCCTTCCTGTGACAGACAAGTTTGATAAGTTGGTAAGTTTATCCCTCATCTTACTGCAGTTGACCGTCTACCAAGGCCAGGTTGTAAATGAACATCAAAAAGCTCCCAGCAAGTGTACTTTTAGGTAGAAATCTTGCAGCATAGTCTACTTAAGGCTAGTGTTAACCAACCACACTGAGATAATCCATCTGAAGTAGTTCTTGTCTTCTAAGAGATGGCTATAGTAAAGGCCTGCCTCTGTCCTGCCAGTACAAAATTTCCCTGCAGGAAGACCACTCGTTATAATCTCCTCACATGTAATTATTTCCTGATGTCATGCTAATTCTGAGCTCTTCTGTGCTGGTTATTATGATCCAGGGCCAAGCAGGTGGGCTGGCTGCTATACAGTAAGGTCTGTGCTCTCTGGTAGGTGCAGCAGAATGCCTGAAATAATCTGTTGGCAGGCAAAATTAAGTGCTTCAGGCAGACAAAAGGAACTGCCAAACAATTTAAGTAGTAGAGAATCTGAGGAAGTCACTGGTCCAAGACATGCTCAGAGCAAGGACAGCTTAACAGCAGCTGCTCCACTCCTCATCCCAGAGATTCCAATAGCTCCAGCAATGTAGGGCTCAGAGCACAACCCAGGGCACCTGCTTACAAAAATAACTCACCTGTAATTTGCTTTGTCTAACATCACTGTCAGCAGCATTCAGAGTTCACTGACAACATTCCAATAAGATGTCCATAAATGTAATTAGAACAATATCAGATGTTTACAGGAGAGTTATTTGCATCTACTGTCTTCTGCCCTTTGCTGTTATCTGCCTGCAGCTCACATTATCTTTGTTGTAAGGAAAACCTTTGCACTACAGACAACAGCATTGCATTGATACATTTTTTCCACCAAACATCAACGTGATTTGGTCTGTTCAGCCCAAGCATTGCACCAGGCTAAACAAGAGTAAAATGAACTGTATCTTTCCAGGAGAATTTGCATTTTGAGCTATTTGCTCATTAGGAGCTATTTGGAAGTGCAGGAATTGAAAAAGTTACTTTTAGAGTGCCTAAACTGAAATAAAGGATCCTTGAGAGTGGCTGCAAGACTTTGTTCCTTCAAGCAAAACAAGGAGGTATGTTACTGGACACATTTCTCCCTTTGTCCTTGCAAGGGGCTGGATGCATACAGGAGTTAACTGTTGCATCCGCCTCTGCACTGAACTGCAGGCCTGAGGTTTGCTCTCCGTTGAAGATATTGCCCTACAGGTTGGGATTTAATCCAGTCATACAGCATGTTATACCAACTGTTGTCACAGCATGTCTGAAATTTGGGGTGAGAAGTCTAAAAGAAATCCTGTATGTGGAAGCAGCACAGGGAATGGGGTTATATGGATAAAGCACCAGCTGGAAGCACAGGATTAGCATCAGAAGCTGGTAACACAAGCACAGAGCAGCGCTCCTCTCTGCTCTCAGTGACTTCTCACAGCATAAGAATGGGCTTCTCAGGGACTAAGGGCAGGGTTTCAGTTTTGCTAACTGTACCTTGCAGTAAAGGTGATCTGCAACATGTCTTTGGTAGGTTGCTCCCCTTCACGTGCCTCCAGGATGCCGTTAGCAGGGGAAACAGAAAATACTTCCAGGTCATTGTGCCTTTCTTGTTGATCTGCAATGACAAAGGCAAGTAGCAAACAGTGCAACACAAAAGCTCTTATGTAGGTTTTAGTGCTATGTGCTCTACAAAACAATACACCTCCTGGCCTGCCAACTAATCAATACATCACTTCTTGCACTGTCACAGGTTTTCTACGCAAGTGGCCAGTTTCTATTTTCATCCTTTAATCAAGGGCAGTGATCAGTCCTCTGTGTCTGACTAATCAGGCCCTGCTCTTCTCTCCTCTGAAGTCCATCTGTTGTTAATCCCATTAGGCACAAATTCAAACAGCTCTCATGAGGAGCTGCTGCTCCTTGTTGCCTCCTGGGATTGTATTATAAATGAACGTGTCCCACTGACAGTTAAGGCTGTGATTTGATCTATTGGTTAAATCTGGAGTAAAGGTTGAAATCAGCAGGGATATGCTCTTGTAAAAACAACAACAGTCCCACATACAGGAGAACAGAAGTGAACACGGTCATCTCATATCAGCTATTGATATTGAATACATGCAGTCTTTAAAAACAAAAACAAAGCAAAAAAAAAAAAAAAAACAACAAACAGAACAAAGAAACTACATAGCAAGGAGATCCCATTGCAAAACACAAATATATGCAATACCTAGCAAAGCAGTCCAGTAAATTCTACAGCCACTCCTGTTACACAGGAAGACATGTTTAGTCTTGGTCTGTGCAACAAAGCAGGTCTTGAAATCAACCATGTTGCAAGACAGCTCCAGAACTGGAACAGTAAGGTATGCAGTCACTGGGACTAGCTACAAAAGAGAGAAAAGGGAAAGAAAACAACAGGACACCTTATTTTTGTATCATAGAATCATAGAATATCCCAAGTTGGAAGGGATCCCTAAGGATCATTGTGTACTTACGACAGCTGGGTTGCTTTACCTCAAGCACTACATCAGCAGTACTTACCTTCTGTGCTCTTTTGCCACTGAGTCTATTCCCCATTCTACAGCTTTGAGTGAATTAAGTTGTTGCTGGTTTTACTATTTTGGGGCAGGTTTTCAAACGAGATGCTGTGGTCTTAACGAAGTAACACAGAGTGAACATTGTGATTTGTTTTTTAGGTTTTGCTGTGGAGATGCAGACATGACAACATCTTGTCATCCCTAAGGACTGTATACAGCCCACTGTGAGTCATTCAGTTTGTGCATGTTGCCCAAGAATATTAAGTTGACTATATCTTAGATATGGTGCTTGAATCTTACAGCTCAGTCCTCAGAAGTACGTGGTGTGAAAAACAGTGCCTGCAGATGATGGTATTGGGGGCTTTATGGCTTTGCATCTAGAAGAGATCAGTCTTTAAACACAGGTGGGCTGTGACTGCACCGCATGAGCTGGACAGATGGGATTTTCAAGGACTAGGGTGCTGCAGGAGGCAGCTCTTGCTGACTCAAAGATGCTGATGAAAGACAGCCCCTTCTGAAGGTCCATAGCAGTCAGCCTCATCACAGAATCACAGAATGGCCTGGGTTGCAAAGGACCACAATGCTCATCTAGTTTCAACTCCCCTGCTGTGTGCAGGGTAGCCAACCACCAGACCAGGCTGCCCAGAGCCACATCCAGCCTGGCCTTGGCCTGGCTGCAGGGTGCTTACCTGGGTGCTGTGGTTACTGTATTCGATGATCAGATTCTGACTGAACTTGAGCTTTCTCTCTCCACTCTCAAACTGGAGCACTTCAAATCCAGGAAATACTTGGGTGTCTGGCAAATGCTGATACGTCAGCAACTCCGGGGTCGTGTGGAATGACACTTTCACCTGTGGGAAGAGGAATTCAGATGGCTGTCATATAAGACAGCACCACGTGCAGGAAATCCAAAGTAAACAGCGCCCAAAGGCCTGAATACATGTTTTCCCATGGGAACACAAAGGTGTCATGCCAGCAACCCAACTCCCACAGGAATAAAGTATTTTAGTGGACATTATAGAAAAAAGAAACACAGCTATTTCCTATGAAAACAGTATAGAGTGTAAAGCTAGAAGTTGAACAGCTAATTGTTGAATCATGATGGAAAAACGTTCTCTAGCAAGACAAAGGTGTTCAATTCCTGAGCTTACAAATACCACATTCCCAAAGATGTCTTAAAAATGCTACATCTTCTTTCTTCTGACATATGCAGAATTAAGACCGGTGTGCCTCTAAGTCAGGGTGAGCTCTGGAAATGAGAACCGTGCTTCCAAATGCAGCTGAGGGTTCATTCCTTGCACCGTAGGTAATTCTTGAATCCAGGTCTTTGCTTCCTTTAATGTCACCATGTACACCCTGAGCTAATCTTTTTTTTTTCCCTCTCTTTGCACTGTCTGCATCTAATTTAAGGAAATGAGAGAATGTAGGTTTGGAAGTATTTTAATTAGTTCAGCATGCATTTGGCTATTGATTTAGGTGAGGTTCAGAAACCACGCAGGGTTTTCCGCAACACAACAGGGTCAGAATTGATGAGAAAAGCACAGCAAGGCCACAGTGGAAAAATCTTGTGTACCTGCAATATAGCAGGCTAAATTGCCATAATTAGCATTTGCTAACACCACTATTTCCCCTGACACTGAAAGATTTCTAGACTGGTTGTTTTTCTTGCGGTTCATCTGGGCTACGCTAACACACCAATTACTAAGCTATCTATTCTGGCAGGGGTTTATTATTTTTGAGCCTACCAGCATGTTTTGCTGTGGGTAAAGCACAAGTTGTGGTTGCTGTTCTGTTTCTTCCTTCTCACTGTGGGATGTTTTTGTGCCCTTCTTGAGATCTGTGCTGGTCAGGCTGAAGGGAGCAGACAGCAGGAGCCTGAAGTACAGAGGAACCTTAGTGCAATTGGTGAGCTTCAGACTCTGAGTCAGTACTGAAGCTGTCAAAACCTGGTAGAGACATGATTCAGACGGGTTAGTTTCAGTTCCCTTGAGAGCTCTGTGCTTTCAACAGCACCAGGAATCTGAAGGACTCTGCCCCAAAGAAGCCCAATGTTTTCAAAATTGAGGAAGTATCCCAAATACAAATAACTTCATAAGGTGAAAGTCTACAGATGACAAAGGGTGCAGGAACTGACCACGCTGCTCTACGTTTCATTCTCCTATCAGATCTTTAAGTCTTAAAAATAAAAATAAAAAAATAATAATAAAAAAAAAAAATTAAAAAGGGAAAAAGAGAGAAAGACAGGAGATAGGAATTGTCTGAGCTCAGCTTTGCTTATTCCTGTCTGGTAAGTACTCATACTCCTTTTGGTTTACATATGTGCAGCACTGAAGACTGCAGCATGCAAATAATGGTGATAAAGATGCATTTTAAAAAGCATGTGGGTATAGCTGTGCATATTCCCAGCAGTACAAAGCAGCTGAACACATCTGTGCACGACGTACTTACTCCTAACAGAGGCGGGTCGGGTATGAGGTCGCTTGCCATAGAATAAAACACCATTCCTCTGTCATGATCCATGTCTACTTTTAACCTGAGTGAAAAGAATGGGAGCTGGTCAGAGCCCTTCCCTCCAGGCTGGTTTATTCTGTGAGTGCCCCTGCTGTCAGTGTGATGGCACTTACAGAGGTTGCCTTACAGAAGCTCGCACGTCAATCCGTAACGGTGCAGCATCGTAACCATGTCTGCGATGGACTCTGCCAGGAACTGTCTTTGCAAGCTGACAACACAATGGAAACAGAAATGATGTATAAATGACAGCACTAAAATATGAAAGCCTACTTTCAGCCTAAGGAGGAGTTACCCAAAATGGGATTCTGCTTGGTAAAGCATTGTCTGTTTGTAAGACATGCCAGCAACATGCAAGGAACAGCAAAAATGCAGCAATAATTGGACACAATGACTGCACTTAATACACATACAGGCAATACTTTCTCCAGGAGAAAGGAATGCTAGGGATGTTTTTATTAAATATTCAGATACAATTCATTCATCATACCTTGCACTGTTGCAGTGATTCATGTCAGAGAATCTGAGGGCAATTCATAAAGCACTGTTCAAGCCTCACATCAGCCTGCAAGCTGCACTTGCATGTTTGCAAAGAGGAAGTTTCCCAGAGGAGAGCTGTGCTGTCTGGATTCACACAGGAAAGAAGACACAGAGCCAGGAATGGAACCCTACAGCCCTGAGTCTCAGTCCCACTGTTCACTTTTGTAATCAATAAAACCTGATGCTGTGATAGCAATTCAGATCCTGGGCTTTTGTCTGGGAGCTGCTGCAGCAGCCAGTGTAAGAAGACAGTGACATTCCCACCCCAGAATGCTTCCAAACTAAAAGGCAAATGCAGCAAACGAACCCTAATTAAGGAAGGATGCATGGGGCTGCAGGTGGAGGACTGTTTTACACTGTGACCAGGTATACACAGCCTGGACCCAAAATTACAGGAAGGGAAATGATTACTTTGGAGTCATCTTTAGCCTTGCTGCAGCTACTCGGCTTACCTTGTCATCCAGGCTCATGAATCCCAGCACAAACCCTTCACACCGCACTTCAGCCACGGACTCCGGGAGGACATGAGGGGTGAAGGAGATGCAAACGGAGCTGCTGCCACCTCCCGGAACCACCTGCAACGAGAGCTGCCTGTTTTGCAGTGCAGGCAGCTGCCTGGGATTTCACAAGCATCCCAGTGCTCCTCTGCTCCAGCTGAGTTTTACAAGCAGCTGGAAATCTCCTGGGGATGCTCAGGGCACACAGTGAGATGTCAGCATGTGGCAACAAAATAGGTTTAGTTATTTCAGCTGCAAGTATCAGTGCAGGCACTCTTTAACATCAACAGAGTTAAAGTACAGCCAGAGAACATCTCCCCTAAGCACGCAGATGTGGATACACACCTGTTTTTGGAAACACTTCTGCCCAGTTCTTCCCACTCTCACCCCATGGCTAACTGAGCTGACTTTCACATAGCTGAAGGCATTCACACACCTGTTCTGAATGTTTACAAGCTGGGCTTAGTATTTTACAGTGCTGTTTGCTCCCTCCTGACCATTTTTTCCTTCACATGGCAGCACAGAATGTAAGCAAATGCATTAACCACCTACAGTAGATTTTTAGTGATATATCGGTTGCAGAGGTTCTGCTTCCTTTAGGTGCATTAGGCAGGTAATGTCTAAAACCTGTTTTAAGTGCTGTGCAGAAGCACTTATTTCATGTTTGGCCCTGCTGGACCTGGATTCTAAAGAAACAGCACAAGGATTGCTGAGCTGACTGCATTTGCCTGCTCAGAGCACTGAGGAGCAGAAGAAAGTTCTGCCTGAGTCCCAGCAGAGACAGAGCAAAGCTGGAGCTGGTATTTCTGTGCCTGCTCAGAGCACTGAGGAGCAGAAGAAAGTTCTGCCTGAGTCCCAGCAGAGACAGAGCAAAGCTGGAGCTGGTATTTCTGCCACATCTCACAGCACTGCAGATCTGTGCACAGTGGTCAGATGTGGTCTGACATGGACCTGAGCCAGGCTTGGGCACCTGCACTGCTCAGCACCTGAGCTAACAGGCCTTCCTGGAGCAACAGTGGAAAGGGGGAGAGTATCCCTCCACAGCTTTATCTTATTTCTAAGGAAGAGTGGCCCCTATTTGCGGCGGTTACTTCTGATGTATGGTGTGTTGCAGCTGTTTATCCAGAAGAGCAAAGCATCCTCCTTCTCCTTTGCCCCTCCTATCCGCCAAGAAACAAACTAAGTCTAAGCACAAAGAAAATGTATGGCTTACTATCTGTCTTGGAGTGATGGAGTAGGGGTTGTCAGCAGGAACCCCTTCATGAGGCCGTAGAAGCACGGAGACAATTTTCTGCATTGTGGGTTCTTGAGTGATTATTCCTTCCTCTTCACACTCTGTGTTTGAAGACTGCAGGGACAAAAGGGTGGGGAATAGTTAAAACCATTACGTTGCAAAGGAGGAATGTAAGCGATGTGTACAGGAATGTAAGTGATGTGTACAGAGAACTAACTGTCCATAAGTATGGCCAGCTTAGTTTCATTCTTTCTGGCATGAAAACTGACCACATGGATGTGTCCTGGACACAAATTTTTTCATGCATAGGTTTGCTCTCCTAAATCTGTCCCCAGACTGCTGGGAAAACATGCATGCTTGGGTCCTGTTCAGCAAAGAGAAACACTCAACCACAACATCTTGGGTCCATTCCATAAACCAGCACTTTAGGACAACAACTCTCCCTTGTTGCATGTGGAAGACAGGAGGTGTATTCAAAACAACTATGCTTTCTGAGCTGAAAAAGAGAAAAGATGCTTTTCCTATGTTTTCTGTAAAGCTTTTGCTGGATCCAGCATACCACCTTCCCCATCACTCCCAGTCCTTTGAGGCATTAAGTCTCCATATTATAACCAAATTTTACATGTAATCATCTGTTATAACATGGTGACACCTGACAGTACCAGAGCTAGTCTGGCACTAGGACAAATACCTCCAAACAACAGCTGTCATTTGAACTTCTCAGGTTATATTCTGCTCCCTGACTACAGCACATAAAGCACCCATGAGAAAAGTAGACCCAATTCAAGAGTTTTGGCTATCTTAACAATTCTATGCTAACAAAACAAAATGTTATTTATCAATGACAGCCTTTAAAAAGTATCTGACCAACTTCTCTAACAACTTTAAGAGAAGCTGAAGTCCTGTTTGCTTATAGCTCATTCTGGAAACCAATTGCTGATACCTTCAGCCACCTACTGATGTATTGCTTTTTGACTCTGAGAGAAGCTGACATATCATAATGCAGCTCTTAGTTAAATGTTGTCTGTTATTGTTTTCAACCTTTTGTGCCAAGAAACCCATCATGTATCTCAGCAGCAGTATAAAAAACAGACTAACAGCTGACCTCATCTGTGGTTTGCAAAGCTGGATGAATGCTTCCACAGGGAATGGGGGGCTGATCCAATCCTAACACGATCTCTGAGTTGCTACCAGTTGATGCAGGCTCGTTTTTTGCCATGTCCTTAGGAGGAAAAGGGTCTCCAAAGAACATCAGCAGGTCCACCAGCTTTTTATCATCTTCCTCTTGGTTGTAAGTTTCCCAGTCCAGGCGAATGTCTGAATGGAAAAGCAGAAAGGGCAGTTACTGCTGCTCATTCAGAGGACTCACAGCTTAATTCTTGGAGAGAATTGGTCTTCGAGACCAAGACTTGTGGTCTTGGAGGACCACATCAAGTAAAGAATTTGTTGTCTTGCAACTGGATTTGTATTAGAGCTCATCTTGAGCTTTGTCATGTTTGCTATAAACCAACTAAATGGAAAACATGCATGCGTGTATGCCATGCATATGGGTAATAAAGTACTTCTCTAGGACCCAAACAATACTTCCATTAGCATTAAAATTAATGATGGGCATTTTGTTAAGTAAATGTCTTTGTGGCATTCAGGAAAAAATAGAAAAAAAATTAAGATGAATGACCATTGCTCTGAAGAGTTTAATGAGGAAATAAGAAGGCCAGGTAACACTTAACAACCAAAACACTGGTTGTTCTTTTTTTATTGCTACAAGGAGTGCAATACAAGCATTGGTGCTTGCTGTACCAAAATTATTATTACCAAAGGGAGTTGGATTGTTGAGTCGGACACTGCGAAAGACAGGACACCCTCCAGAGACATGAGTGCCAAACCTGAGGGAGAAACCCACTGTTAGAACGTGCAGAAAACAAGCGAATGTCTGAAAAAACTTTAATTAAAGATTCATCTGTAAGTGGGAAGTATACAGCTGTGGTAGCAGCCTGTTAAGAGTGGCTATTGGGTGAGGTGTGGCTGAAAACTGCCAAATGCAATGTTATATTCTTTAATCAGTCTCTTTCTTCCAATGTTCTTAGTTGTCTCAGACATTTCAAGGTGAACATGTGAAGTCAGCTTTTGTGAAGAACGTTGCTAGCAGCAGCAAGGGTTTCAACCCTACTTTGCCCTCATTTAGCTGAGGCTGCATTTGTCCATGGACAAATGGACAGGGAGAAATGTACAGCGGACAATTAGGAAAAGTGCCACTGGGTACCAATTTCCATCCCCACTGAATCAATAATGCTGGCATGAATAAACTTTCATGACTGGAAGTCCAGAACAGTGATTGATGGTAAGCCTGGATGCAGATTCTTTTCTAATTATTCTGGCAGAGACAAATGCATTGGTGTTACAGAAGCAGATACTGTCCTTTGACAGTCACTGTGCTGACTTCCTCATTACACCACAAGAAGGAAGTTCCAACCCCTAAAATACTGTGATTCGGTGAAGATGGGAACAGGAGTAAATGTTGGCTATGCTCCAGTGGTATTTAATGGTCCAACTTCTCTGTCAGTAGTTTGGGCTGTACCTGATTATGGGGCACTGCGTTTGTGGTCCTGTCATCTGCAGGAAGATCGGGCAGCCCTTCACTGTCATTTGCATAGGAATTAACGTAGGTTGTAGGTCTCCCACCTATTAAAAATGATTATTGTTTTTGCCATTAGAATCAAGATGTAACTAGTATCTGGGTTTCGAAATTACATTTTGAAAACTGTTTCTGATTTTCCTATGTTTTGAATGATATCTTTTGAAAGATCACATTCACATTCTAAATTCACATTCTAAACAACAGCTTTTCTCAGCAGGAAAGTGCAATAGCTCACGTGTTAGTTAACTTCCATACAACATAATATACTGTATTGGTAGAGCAGAATAGCACACAGGTCAGTTACCAAGCAGATTTTATACATCAGACTGCTCCAGTCACTTCAAAGACACATGGAGGCTGTGGATGCCCCATCCCTGCAGGCATTCAAGGCCAGGCTGGATGTGGCTCTGGGCAGCCTGGTCTGCTGGTTGGTGATGCTGCCCATGGCAGAGGTGTTGAAATTGGATGAGCATTGTGGACCTTTTAAACCCAGGCCATTTTATGGTTCTATGGAAAACTCCCAAGGGATAGACATGTTACCCCAAAACCAAACCAAGCACTGCAACAGCAAGCTGTTCCTCCTTGCATGCTGTCGGATCTGGCAGCATCTGCCCTGAATTCTTACAGAAATCCTAAATACTAAATGGAAAATGTGCTTTTTCAGAAAGGAATCTGGGAAATACAATTGGTGTCAAATCTGCCATAGCAGTATTTCACTTGAAACCAAGCCCCACCTACCTTACAGACAAGATCATCACTGTACTCTCCCCACATGTTGTTGTAGGCTGTTATTTCTATGATTAGCCGCTGGAAGGCTTGCAGAGTTCCTGAGGAAGGTTGTATATGGAAAGCTACTCCCTTCCCATGAGACAGCATTGCTGCTGCAAACTCTAAAAGGAGCACAGCAAAGAAGCATTTGATAAGTTCTGAGGAAATGGAACAACGTTAGTCCTTCAGAGAAAACACAGGAGCAGATTATTAGCTAGTGTCAATCAGGATAACTTCAATGGCTTCAGAAAAACTGGGATCGTTTACACAGCCCATGTTTATAACACTTCAGTTCCCTTTTGCAGTGGGTTTTAATCTCTTGGGTTTTTTTTTTCCTTTTGTTTTTATGAGTCAGTTCTCGCAGAGATTATTTCATAGATGGACCGCCTTCAGACAACCTGATCCAGGACACTTTGAGATGTGCAAGGCAGTGATTGGTTAAATGAAAACACACCCTCAACTTTAGAAAAATAAGCTGGAATTTCTCCTAACTGGTTATCATTCTATTGGCAGCTGCCCGTTTACATCTGTGTGCTGTTCAGGACAAAGAATGTGAATTATAAAGAGCAGAGAGGCTTTCCACATTCTGAATTATCCTGCCTTCCAAATCAATAGGCTTCCATGGAATCTGTCAGAACAGCATTTTCCCAACCTTAAGGACTAATTCAACAGCTGAAAAGCTTTGTTTTTCTAACAGATGCTAAACACTATGGCAAGCTACCAATGTATCCAAGTTTTATTTTGGATACACAAGACACATCCACATTTCATGGCATTTTGCTCTCACTTCCCCCCCCTTCCCTGGGTCCCTTGTGGCTCTCAGTATCATTGCTTTCACTACAAAGCATCAAAAATGATGGATGTGCTGGGGGATAGTTTTTCTACACTGGGGAAATAATATATTAAGAGGTTTGAAGGAAGAAAGCCTGCTACAACGGTATCAGAACACTGACCAGGAATGAAACAGCCAAATGTTACACATCCATACTCTGTGCTGGGAATGAACTATGAGCAGAACCACCCATCTTTTGGGGTGAAAAAAAGAAAGAAGAGTGACCTAATGCTTATGCAATGTGGAGTTTTGCACTCAAGTATGAAGTGAGGAGCTACGTTATTTAATGGTGTCCATGTAGCCAAGTATTCCAACAGCAAAATCATGTTCCTGACTGGCACTTTCAGTGCTGCACATGGAAGTCAGTTGATATTTGCCTTCTCTCCACGGGGGGGGATTATCCTTGTACCTGACTGTGCTCTTTTGGCTGCATGTTTCGTGGTGGGCCCTCTCCTTTTCACCAGGTAGCCCGATGAGCTTGAAAAGAAAAACATCAAAACATCGTAATGCTTCTGTGAAATGAGCATGTCTCTGCTAACATAACATCTCCAGCTGACTCCTACATTAGTGGCCATTAGAGCTTAAAGAAAGACTACCTACTCAGTATTTTTGGAAAGCAACATCCTTAAGAGTGAATTAACTGCAGAGCTGCAAGGCTCTGTGTACAACCCAACACAACAGAGCCTTGGCAGGTGTAAACCAGCCTATATCCACAACAGTAGTGACAACAGTGGAGTTCTGCCACTTGCACTGCCTAAGTGAGAGAATCACCAAGATTGGAAAAGGTCTCCAAGATGATCCAGTCCAACTGTCCATCTCTCAGCAATAGTTCCCACTAAACCACGTCCCTCAGTACCACATCTAAACGTTTCTCCAACTTCTGTGTTTGCTTTCCAAGCTATCAGTTTCTGCAGGAAATCTTTTCAGCAAATTTCATCACCACAATCAAAGAGCTTAAAAACAAGAACCAAAAAAACCCAAATGCTATAACATTGCAGAAAGTGCATCTTGTGGCAGAGGAAATAGCATGCTGTCCTGATTTCAGTTTTAATAAAGATCTCCATTAGTATTTGAGGCACTGGGCAGAAAGCCAAGACTTACAGGGAGATAGATTGCTCTGGAGTAGGTGAAGAGCCAGTAAAATACACAGCTTCTAGTCTGAACAGTGCACTGATTGCAGTGTGATTGGTAAGGATCAGCTGACGTTTCACTGTGTCTTTCAATGCAACTTCAGATCCAAAGTCCAAAAGAAGGTCACATGGGCTTTGTAACACTTTCCTTTCATCACTGTCAGAAAAAAAGTAAGTATTACAGCATCAGTCCAGTTTTCTTATGCACAGATGACTTCAAGAGATTTAAAATGTACAATATACAACGTGGTTGTAAAAACCAGTGTAAAAAGACCAAGCAGTTGAGCTTTTGTCATCAGCACTTACTGCTTTACATTTTTTCACTTCTAACCTTGTAAGGATTTATTCAGGGTAGAAAGTTGATTGTGTATGATGTGTAAATCTACCAAATTAAAGCCATTTTTACTTATATTAAAACCTATAAAGATGAGCATATTCCAAAAGAGAGTAATCATGCCACATAAAAAAATTACTCAGATATACGAAGTCAAAGTGAGGTCTACTGTCCTTTCTTTGATACTGTGTTTAACGGTGCAGTAAGAAAACAGAATGGCCCAACATACTGGATCTTGGTAATTCAGTAGGAACTGAACGTGCACGTTTTTGGCATCACAGAAAGCAGTTGTTCCTCACATATTATGAGCTGCAGGGCCCGCATGCTTTGGTTAGTAGTGACAAAGGTAGTTTTCCTGCTCTTCACACACCAGAAGAACCAGGACAACAGGAAGACTGTAAGACCCAGGAGCACAAGTGAGACCAGCCAAAACATGACCGTGACTTTTACTTGCATGCAGTTCATTTCACACCAATTCACTATTCATCCATTCATTCAAAGTTGTTATTTAATTTGTTTCAGCTCATTGTTTAAGGTCAGGTTGCATGGCGTCCTGGGCAGCCTGGTCTGGTATTGAATGTGGAAGTTGGTAGCTCTGCCTGTGGTGGGAGGGTTGAAGCTTTATGATCCTTGAGGTGCCTCCCAGTCTGGGCCATTCTACATTTCTATCTGTTTTTTTTTTTTTCCAGTTAATCTGGAAGCCCAAGATATAAAAAGATGTTAAGTCTTACAGAGTGGCACTGCAAAACCACATACTGCACTTGCAAGCTGGAACGTTTCTTTTGGAAATTGAGTTTGGCTGTGTCACTGTGACCTGCCTTAAGGCTTGGTGCTATGGAGATGTCATCCAGTTTCTGAGAAGACAGCACCTTGCCAAGAGGTATGTAAATTATAGAATTTAACATCTACAATCTACTCTTAATGACTGTTGTTTTTGGTGGTATAAGCTGAACTACATTATATCTGGCTACAGTAAAACTGCAGAGGTAAACGTATCAAGCTTTGCACTTCTCATGACATTCTATAGATGTTTTTAATGCCAACACATACTTTGGTATACTTGAGTATTCTATAAATAGACTAGAGCTTTTTATATCTATTAGAATTGTTCTACAAAAAGAATCACAGAATGGTTCATCTTCCATGATTTTAATAATGCCTTGATTCACCTGGCATCTCCACCTTCACAGGGTACTGAGTAGGTGACATGCAATCCTTTTACTTCTCCAGAAATGCTCAGAAGGAGGGGTTCAGTCATGTCTTCTATGCTACAGGAAAGGGCAAGGCCTTTCAGCTCACCCTGATAGGAGAAGAATCAGATTTGCTTGTGAATGGAGTAGAGATCACAGAGGACAGGCAGCTTCATTAAGAAATCCAATTAGGGAATGCATTTAAACCTCACTGGAACAGATCTACAATAGAACACTGCAAAGTGTTACTGAATTGCTTTAAACGTACTACCTGCAAACAGATTTGCTAAGAAGGAAGAAACAAGGTACCATTTTGTGGCTGTTTCATCTCTTTACATCCATATCAGTCTGTAAGCCTAACATTGCTCCATTAGTGATTTCTGACATGCTTTCTGTATTGGAAATTTTGAAGCTCTAAGCATAGTTACCTCTAAAGCAAAGGAATTTCAGATATATTGTATGCAAAAAAGAGCATCATATTGAGTATATGGAAACCGTTTCCCTTGTCAGATGGAGTTGAGGTGAGGATGACAGCACCACTCTTTTGATAAGCTTTCAAACTTACTGTGATGTTAGCTGTCAGCTCTATGCAGAATTCTTTTTCTTCATTTGGGGTTAAAATGCCACTGGCTGGAGCGATGGTGGCAGAGCAGAAAGCTGCTTGAGTTCCAATGAGCTGCCGAGCAGATGGGACAAACACTCAGTTAATCTGCTGTTTCAGTAACTCTTGAGTCTTTCAGATTTTCCTCTTCTGATGTTACAGATGCTATAAAAACAGTTATTCTAAGGCTCAGAACACTTTTCCTTAGCAATACACAGAGCTTGCTGAGATGAGGCTTGCTTTGCAATTCTCCTATGGCTGCTAAGATTCTTACCTAGAATCATTTCAAGTGACTTCAGGTGCTCCTCTGAGCAACCTGTACTGGGAGCAGAGTTGCTGTAGGCCCTTTCCCAGTCACAAGCCTTCCCAGGTCAGCTTACCTGATATTGGAACAAACTCCTCAAGGTGCCTCAGGTCTCTCCAGCTAACTACAGAGAAGGCCTATAGAGACAATTTTGCCTGTGTGACTGACTGACATGAACTCAGAGGTTCACCTCAGTTGCTCAAACACAAACACCAGGTACTGTGCACAGTGCCTGGGTATCCTTCCAGGCTCCAGCTAGTCCAAAGGGTTTTCCTGTGGGTCCTGCACCATCTGTGTGCACTGGTAGAGTTCCTCAGGCATGTGAGGACATCTCAGATGTCGCAGAATGCTTTTACATAGGCAACTGAGCTAAGTCTCAAATGTCAGAGTGGATCTGAATGACCAAGGCGCTGATAATAGGACTTACAGGTTAAGCATATATGTAGTGGGTGTCAAAACTACCACTATAGCCAACATTCAGTACATTCTAGAGGTCATTCTGCATACTAAAGCAGGTGTCAATTTCAGAGTGAGCTGAATAGTTCTCTGGGTTCCACTGACAATATGAACACATTAGGATTCAGTTGCCTAAACACAGGTCCATAGAGTAGTCCAGCATGGCAGGACTTACAAGAGACCACATTTCCTAAGTGAAATGGAGGTCACAAAGAACATTCTGCAGCACTCAGAGCGACACTAAACAGCTATATTCTGGTAACTGACCTCCTGCCCAGATTTTCTATCACTGAAAAGGAAGTTCAGACAGTAGCCCACCTACTGACATTAAATTTAGGAGTCCTAATCTGTGAGTTCAAACCCACCTGGAATACAGAATTCAAGTTTAGACACAATTCAAAAGCAATGCTGCTGCTTTGTTCTACTGAACTAAATGCAGAAACCTGAATATCTACGATACTTTGTTTAGTGCAGCTTTCATCCTGTTTTCCTCTCCCACTTTGCCCACACCGCCCTCCAAGGAGTGATCAATAGTCAGTAACTACACATTAACATCAACGGGTAGATAATCTCTTCATAAAGTCTGGTCTCAAGCCAAAGTCCTGCTCACAAGCCAGAAGACAGGAACCACTAGCCAAAGGACACATCAGAAAAGCTTTCAATTATTATTTGTACTCTGATGCAAATTCCAGCCCTGCTTTATTCTTCATCCATTAGAAACGCACTTACATTTCCCCATGAGTATTTTGCTGGCAGCCGTGTCTGGTTGAAAAGTTTGCTTGTTGCTTGGACAGGAATTCCAGTATACATTTCAGTGAGCACTAGATGACTAGATAACAGGCATGCCTGGGGGGTCTGAACTTCCACAGAAACAGGAAGGTAACTGGAAGTAAACACACAGATGGCCTATTGTTATCGTTAATGAGACGTGCTAGACATACAACAGCACGCTGGAAAGAATGCTGATGATGTTTACTTAGCAACATTAGTGATTAGCTAGCTCTTTGATAGGCTACACGAGCCCATTCTGAGTTTTTGCTATGTATTTTTGTTTTAGGAGACAAACCTACCCATGCTGAAAATCACATGTGAATGTCAGGAAGAAATAAAGCAGAATGTGGCTTTTTCCCCTTACCTCTTTTCTCCATCTTCTACCTCTAGTTCTAAGACTGTATGGAGACGCTGGCACAGCAATGACGTGTACTGAACAGACACACTGCATGTGCCCAAAGGAGGCAATTCTTCAGCAGATGGCTGAATGGTAAAGGGAGACACCTGGGAGAGAAGAGAGGGAATAGAAACGCTTTTGATGCCCATTAAGGAAGTGTAAAATGCTGTACCTATACGCCCCCATTGAGATTCACGTGTGTCCAATTTCTCCTCACACATGTCATGTTTCTCTGCCCCTGGAGTCCCATCTGGGTAGATTTTACTACATGCAGTGATAGCTTTGTGAAAACCTGGCTAAACAAGGAGAAGGAACTTGGCATCTGTGGGGACAGCTAGTGAAACAGCCACGAGTTCAGAGAAGGGCTGTCAAAGCCAAGGGCTTAAAAGAGATGCCTGTGCATGTGGCGAGGGGGGCTGCAAAGCAGTCAGCACTAGTAGCAGTGGCTACTTCCAAAGAGGTTGAACAGCAGCTATGCAAGATGCCAAGGGGAGATTCTCGGACAGAGAGTCAAAAAAGGAAGGTTGGAAGACCAGAAAGAAGTTGAAAAAGCACCAGTGTGGGACAGGGGCTGGAGAGATTAAGGAAAAGGAAAGTGGCAGCTTTTATGCAGGAAGCAAGAAATTGATCTGTCATCTCCACTGCAATACAAATGGGCTCTGGGGTGATAAATTCAACAGATTAAGTCTCTACAATCTCTGAGGTCCTAGGAAGTGTTGAGAATGCAGGAAACAAAGGAACAACAAATGTGAGAAAGAAGGGTTTGATGACTGTGAGGAGCATATCCTGATTCAGGCACTTCTGATTATAGTTGTTTTGGGAAAAAGGGGTAGACAAGCACACACACAGCTGTTTTGCAAGGCTGCCATAGCCACCCCTCATAAATCCTTCTCTTTTTCCATCAAATTTCAACCAGAGTTGGTGAATCTGCATCGTGTGTAAGAAAAAAAATAAATAATCCAAAGGTGAAGAAGTCATAAAATTAGAGAGCAGCCTCATACAGCCTTCCATCTCCTGAGATAACCAAAAGAAAACTCCTCTTTCAGTGCAGAACTGACACAAGCTGTCCAGGAAAACAAAATGTCCAAGCACTGTTTATACCATTTTTGCCACAGTAAAAGCAAACAATTCCCTGAATGGTCAGTGATGTAAAGAGTACAAGCAAGCATAGTTTGGGTTTTATTACTAGAGAAAGCACTCATCCTAAAGTCCAGATATCCTCACTTCCTTTTGATGTCAGTGGTGTGGGAAGAGTGCTGAGCAGCCTCAGAATGAGGTCTTACTCCATTACATACATTAGCAGTAGCCCAAATCCCTGACATAGAGGAAATACTCCATGGCTCTTTCAATCATGCTGAAATTAACAGAAGTTTTTAAAAAAAAAAACCTCATATACATTTATTTTCTAAAAAATCTTGTGCACTTCGTAGAATCATAGATTGGTTTGGGTTGGAAGGAACCTTTAAGATCATGCAGTTCCAACACCCTGCTGTAGACAGGGCCATCTCCCTCTAGACCAGGTTGCTCACAGCCCCATCCAGACTGTCCTTAATAACTGCAGAACCAGCTGCATAATGAACTGCAGAAATCAAAACTTCGTATCTGGAATGAACAGCACAGCTGCTAAGCCTGAGGAAGTAATAGCTGAAGAAAGAGCATGGCAAGCTGCAGCAGTTACTTACCTCTTCATTCCTTTCAGCTAGACAAACCTGGCTTTCTTGCATTCTCCACCGTGCTGGCAGCTGGCACAGATTTTGAATCTCAAAGGTTCCTACCACACTCTCACCTGGCTTAATCAAACCTAAGCGGAGTGAGGGAACACCAATATGAAGAAGAGGACCCTAGAACACCAGAAAACAGATGGCAAAATGGACTTTTCTGCCAAAACTCCTTAATTAAAAAGCATACACTAGGCTAAGATTAATGTTCTACTTCACAGAGAAAAGCAGAAAGCAAATGCTTTCTGTGTAATAGAGAAACATCTTACTGTTGTGGGAATATCAGCATTTACACAATTGTTACTAGACAGCAAAAAATGCTTTGTATTTGTAACTGCCCTAGATCTGTCAGGCATTCAAGAAGCAAAAAGCTTTAGAGAGCCAACAGCCTGGCCCTGCAACACCAGGCTGGCTCTTACCTTAAAAGCAGCCTCAATGTGCAGCACAACTGGCTCTGCAGAATGTTCAATTTGACACTGCAGGTTATGGCTGACACACCCAGGTCTGATTCCAGTAATCATCAGTTCAAATTCACAGCATTTATTCATATCTAGAAAAGAAAAAAATATAGAATCAAAGTCTCGCTTTCTTGAACAGAAATAAGCTGCTGTAAGGCTGGAACTGAAGCTCTTGGAACCAAATGAAGCCTCCTGCTGGGTCCAGCAGGCTGGGGATCAGCCCTATCTGACACCTTGCAATATAAAGTTCTACAGCTTTTCTCATTCACTTGTACCAATTTAAATATTTCTTTCATTAACTGATACTCGTAAGTCACAGAAACTTTACCTATGACACCAGTAAGAGGTTCAACTTCCATAATGGCACAGACTGTGATATTCTCCCATGTATACCTGATCAATGACTTGCTGTTATTCCACATCTGAAACAATTAAAATTAAAGTTAATTAACCATACCAGAAGCTTGCACAGCAACAAGTCCATATGCTGAGAGCAGTGATGCACTGCAAACTAGGTATTGCAAGTCACACATCACATACGTATATTGCAAACTTTAATGATGTCCTGATCCCCAATAAATCATAGAATCATAGAATTGCAGGATCATAGAATGGCCTGGGTTGCAAAGGACCACGATGCTCATCCAGTTCCAACCCCCTGCTGTGTGCAGGTCACCAGCCAGCAGACCAGGCTGCCCAGAGCCACATCCAGCCTGGCCTTGAATGCCTGCAGGGATGGGGCATCCACAGCCTCCTTGGGCAGCCTGTTCCAGTGCCACCCTCTATGTGAAAAACTTCCTCCTAATATCCAACCTAAACCTCCCCTCTCTCAATTTAAAACCATTCCCCCTCATCCTATCACTATCCACCCTCATAAACAGCCGTTCCCCCTCCTGTTTATATGCTCTCTTCAAGTATTGGAAGGCCACAATGAGGTCTCCCTGCAGCCTGCTCTTCTCTAAATGCTAGTGCCTACTAAAATAGTTTGAATCTAGCTCTAGCATACTGTATCTTCTCCTGAATCTTGACACAAACTGAACAAACACAAAGTGGAAAGGCATAGAACCCCTAACCTCTGACTGGAACACTACCAATCCAGTGCTGTGCTCTATTTTCACCACATCCTGTCACCTTCCCTCTGTCATGTAAAACCAAGTCAAGAAGTAGGATTCGGCTGACTGGATTTCAGATGTCTTCAAAGTGGCTGGGAGCTCCCTGTCTGATCTCATCTTCTAGGGCTCTCTTTGTAGCCAATATTGCCAATTAGACAGTGCTAGCAGCAATATCTCCACATTATTTTAGCCTGGGAGATGTTAGGAGACACCCCTTGGATGGCCAAGCACTATAAGGAAAGTTACAGCAGGTAGCTTGGAGGTGCAGATCTATGCCCAAAGCACCATATTTAACCAGATGAATTCAGTGGCTACCTTTGCACTGGGATTTGGTATTTTCGGAAATCTGAACCCAGGTTTCCTTTCCTTCCCCAGAACATCACTGCATTTGAACCTCTCTAAGAAAACATTAACTAGGATCATTAACTAGGAAGTTTCTTCTTGCCTGGCTATTGCTAATAGACCTATTTTTCCCAGCTATAACTAGAATCAAAATGATCCTAGCCTATAGTGAAATGAATGCTGAGTGAGTGGATTGCAGCAGAATCTTATCCCATAATATTCAAGCAGAAATCAACAGAATCTGCAGCCACAGAAATAGGTCTAAGAAACTTCAGCAGAAGAGATTTCTGTAGCTTTCCTGCTGTAATCCTTTAAACAAACAGTGTCTCTGTTACAAAGTAATTTAATCATCCATGGGTTAATTCCTCCCAGCTGGAGAAATCTTGCACTGCAGCGCTGGCAGATGGATCAGCACTGCTTTGTGACCCAGAAAAGCATTTACAAGCGTAATACTCTGCAATATCAAACCTCAGAGATGAAAACAGAGCAAAGCCTTCTGCTTGAGCACAGGGCTGAGGAGGCCTGCGAGGGCATTTCAGCATGGCCTCCTTTAGAAATATTTAAGAGAAATTAAAATCACACAGATCATCTGATGCCTTCTAACAGCACCTCTGACAGCCAGAGTCACAAAGCAACTGATATAAATGAAGTAAAGAGCAAACAAACCTTAAATGTCCTTCTGACATTTACACCAAGAAAGCTTTCTCCGGGGATGATAATGGCGTACGGTTCCAGAAGAAGCTGAAATGGCTCCGTGGATCCTTTCACTTCTATATCCAGTGCTATTACATCCTCTGCTAGGTATTCTGGGATGTTTTGGAGCATTCTCTCCTTTACAAAACTTCAGAAGGAAATGTGGCAGAATTATTAACTGTTCAACTTGGCTCCATCTTTTAATTGCCAGATCAGAAGTGCAAATTAGCAAAAGCTTCTCCACTACACACTGCTGGAGTGCAGTAAACCCAGGTTGGAGCAATAAACAACAGGAAGACTTCCAGTAGTCTTTTAACATACTCTGTCCCAGAACATTCATGGATTAAATATGTAAGTCATAGACTGCTGTGACAAACAGCAATAACAAAAGGTGATGGAAAGCTCAGCACAAAGCATAGGAAACAAACAGACAAATGACAGTATCTTTCCAAGAGAGGGGCAGCCTCAGCTAGGGCTAAGGCACGTGTTCAGACACGAGGACAGGCTGAGATAAGCTATTTGTGCCACTGTTGGCTGTGCATACAAAATCCTTTATAACTGCCAGTCCACCGTAAGTAGAAAAATGGAGAACCCCAGTGATGTAATGCAATAGCATAGCTAAAATGTGGCTGGAAAGCACTGACTCTCAGCTTACCCAGGTGATTCTGGGATGTCCCTCAGAACCAGCTGTATCACACTGTGGTAAATCTTCAGCTGTACAGATAAGGAGGGGATGTTACTCTCAAGTCATCGGCTACGTTGAGAATTCAAAAAACTGAGATGAAAACTGAGTTTATATTTAAATAATGAACAATCATCGCTGAGATCCTAAACTCTGATAAACCATATTCAAAATCTAGAAGTACTAAAAGAAAACACGTTTGACTGCAAAACATTAAGCCAAGATTCTGATCTCATAGTGTATGGTTCCAAGAAAAACATTCATTTTTGACATGCTAGTTATTATCTCCCTGGTATATTGCATACTACACACAAACATCTGCAAATGAAGATTAGTATTGCTGTGCTAACAGAATTTGCTTTAGCCACTTTAGGACATTTAACTTACTTGGCCGTCAATTTAATTTTGAACTAAAAAAACTGTTTTTGCCATGATGGGATAAAGAAGAAACCTCCTGTATTCAAACAGAAACACAACCACAGAGGCAGGCCTTAAATCTGAAGGGTTTTGCAGGGGATTTGTTTGTTTACCAAGAAATGTTTATCTAAGTGTAGATGTAAACATCAAATATTTGTGTTAATAAACTAAAATCTTGAAAATATCATTAATATATTTTCATATTGACTCACTCAAGTGTTTTCTTACAAGCTAATTTCTCTTCCACACTTACTTGAGGCATTCCTATGTCTGTCCATCATCACAACATGGGATATTTGTACTCATGGGTTTAGTTTGGCTTGTGTTTCTTTAAATGCAGTGAGCTCATACTCCTCATTTACGAGGATGAGAGAACAGACGTGAAGACAGACATCCATCAGTTCAGCTGCACTCGAACATCACTGCACCCTCTACCACAGCTGCATATCATCACTCCTCTGACAAAGGCTACTGCTAGAACTTCACCACAGAGCTGTTCTCTGGACCCTTCTCAGCCCAAATTCCTGTGGCTGGAATGAGTTGAGATCACCAGTTTGCTACCCAAGTCAGTTTGGGCTGCAGTAGGTTGAGGGCAGAACCCCAAAGCAGACCCAAAGTATCAGGTCAGGGGATGGTAGTGCTACCAATGGCAGCTTTACCAGCCAGCACAGCTGCAGCTAAGAGGATGTGTCCACAGTCTCATCTAAAGTTAATGCTGCCCAATCAGTACCAAAAATCACATGAGATCAGAAGCTGCCTCATACTTCGCAGTCAAAATATGTTTTCTTTTAGTTCTGAATACTGTTTATTAGAGCACAGTACCAGCTAATTGCATTTAATTCACAAAGCTGCACAGCAAGGGTTTTATGACTTGCATAAAAACACACAGCTGTAGATAGGAAGGAATCACAAACCATACCTCCTGTGGAGTGTAAGTGAGGGTAAAGTCATGATCAGCGTGGGGAAGCAGAACTCCCTGCTCAGGACTCAGGGAGAAAGCCAACTCCGTCTCTCGGTTGTACTCAAGTGTCACGGAGTGTGCAGTTTCTCCTGGCAATACTGGGTGCAGATTGGGCTTTATTATCTGCCAGTAAAAAGGAAGTTCTACGTGGCTACAAAGAGATGGACAAACAAGAGAATAAAGCTATCATTAAAGAAAAAATTAGATGCTGAGAGAATTGTGGCAGAAAACTTTTAGTTACTTTTTCGTTTGTTTGTTTTCATGTAGATAATTCCTCTCTTTAGAATTGCAGGGGATTACAGTTACCAGTCCTTGTGAGCTACCAAGATGACAAGACAGCACTGGAAGAGTACCTAAATTCCACAGGAGAACATGCTAATATATTGAAGGAAGTTATGCACGTATATTTATGCAAGAGATTTTTATGCTTTCTTATTTCAAGCTGAAGGAAGGAAGGTTTAGATTAGATGTCAGGGGGAAGTTCTTCACAGAGAGAGTGCCTGGAGAGGCTGTGGATGCCTCATCCCTGGAGGTGTTCAACGTCAGGTTGGATGGGGCCCTGGGCAGCCTGGTATTAAATGTGGAGGTTGGTGGCCCTGCGTGTGGCAGGGGGTGGACATTCATGACCTTGAGGTCCCTTCCAACCCTGGCCATTCTGTGATTCTGTGATTCATGCAATTCATCATGTAATGCAACTTTTAAGGAACACTAAAACTCTTTTTTCAAGAATTTGAAATCAACAGGACCATTCCTTCTGATATCAGTATGTTTGCATTGGATCACTGCTAATGATCTACATAACACTCTGAATTTAATCCAAACACAAGGTCTGGTTTTTAACATGTCAACAAAATGGGGCTCCAGCAAAGATTACAGCAGTAATCCAGAAAGTGTTGCTTAACTGGGTTGTTTCAGCAGAAGTATATCTCATGGGATGAGTTCATAGTTTTAAAACCTTGTTCATTTTGACCTCAAGAACTTAGCCTTAGAAAGTGGAGAAAGGACAGCGGAGTTTCAAAATGAAAATAATGACAAAAAACTGAACAACTCTTTGTATCACTTTCTATAGCATCATTAAGTTTTCTCTTTACTGAGTTCAGTCTAAGACTGCCCAGCTTTGTTTAACACAAATCTAACACCATGGCAAATGCTGTCATGCTGTCATGATCCTTAAGCAGAGAAAATTCTTTAGGAGAAGGAAGTTGACAGAGTCACATCCTTCTTTAGATACAGCATCTAGTTCACCAAGTCATACCTATGCCCAAACAACACTGTTCTGGCATTATGCACGTTTGGCTTCCAGGCCAGGTAAAATCCCAGAAATGTACGGCAGCAAGTAGTGATTTACATGAGTGTATCTAGAAATAGCACTGAACTTCTCACTGCTCTGTTGGCTAGCAGCTTCTTGTTATCAGAATCATGCAAATTAGAGGATTATTATTGTTAGAGTGATCAGTATTCTACCATGCTCAGTACAATGTAATTACAGAGGGACATATTCTTTGACTTCAAATAGAGCTTATATTTAAATCTATTAGGGGACAACAGTTGGGATCATGAACATTTTAACCTGAGCTAATCACACTGGGTTCCTTTTTTAAACAGGAGATCTGGTGCAGTCCAGGATGCACCGTCTCATTCTATGGGAGGTGCCTACATTCAGTCCAGATTTGCATCCTGTTCCCCTGCTCTATGGAAGGACAGGTGTACAGCTGCTTAGCTAGACAGGCATGTATCACAGAATGGCCAGGGTGGGAAGGGACTTCAAGGATCATGAAGCTCCAACCCCCTGCCACAGGCAGGGCCACCAACCTCCCCATTGAATACCAGACCAGGCTGCCCAGGGTTCCATCCAACCTGGCTTTGAACACCTCTAGGGACAGAGTGCTTCATTCCACTGTACAAATACACATTGTAGACACGCAAAGTTAGATGAGGTAAAACCTAGACAACCTTCTTAAATACTTCTGCAATCATCCTTGTCTTAGAACCATATCCTTGAACTTCAATTACTATACAACAAAGCAAAAAGCTTCCACATGAAGTTCAACGACCACATGAAGACTTCTGCAGTCTGAGAGAGTATGGCATCACAAATGAGATCCCTACCAGTACGTTCCAACTGCAGAACGTTATGCTATTAGTAGTGGTTACATACGTAGAGTTTCTTATAACCAAGTTCTTCTGTGTGGTGGTGTGTGGGTTCTGGGGGTCAAATCGTATGAGGTGCTGAGCTGTTACATCAGTGACTTCACCAGGTTCAGGGCTGCTTTCTCCGCCTGTAACATGCAGAAGCTCCAGAGCTATCAGCTGTCCAACCCCTTGAAGAAATAAATAGGTATTATTGTTTACCATCCAGGTACTAACTTTGCTATGTTACTCATGAACACCAAATGTCAGCAGTGGCCATTACTGATTATATCCTGACTGTGTATGGTGTTTCCTCAACTTTCAGAGCTCAGTACAGTGTTTTCCTGGTGTTGTTTTGATTATTGCCATCTACCAGTTGAGATCCTCACTTTATGATCTTAACAGATTGGGATTTCACAGCTACAGCTCATTTACATCAGCATTGTTTCATTGAAGACAGCAGAGCATTTGTAATGGTTGATCATGTGGCTCCCAGTATAATCAGAATAAGCAGCAAAAGCATTATTAAAGTTTACTGAATGAAATACCTGTGGTGATTGTATGGATCTGAAGTTAAGCCTAACGTCACAGTACTCACAAGTACATCAGAGGACAAGCACTCACCATTTGCTATAATTTAAACTGGTTTCATTTGTCAACCAAAGACTGCCCATCTCTCCTTAACCCAAGATATGCCCCAAATTTGCTTCACATCCAAATGTCCATTGATCACCACTCACATTATGAGGATCTGCAGTGTTAGAAGGACATTAGGAACAAACCTGTGACTGTAATATCATTGACCTGGCAGTTGTCACAAACAATGGTGTATGTTCGTTGTGAGACTTCTGGCAAAGAAGGGAAAAACATTACCTGAAAGAGAAAAGGGCAATAGTGATGTCCATACCTGGCTTTTCTCCGGGAAGTCATAAACTTAAATTTATAAGTGCTCAGTAACAGACAGTCCTCGTGATTAATGACTTCATAATCCTACATTTACAATAATAATAAATAATCCTGCGTTTACAAGAAACAGACAGAGCCAAGTTCCCTTAACACAGGCCCAAAAGAAATAGTTGCCTTCTGGGCAACTACACCTACATATGTGTATCTGGTCGGTCACCACAGGCTGCCTTTGTAGTCCCTGTAGTTGGAGGCAGTTTATTACATTAGTCATACAAACTGCACCCTCACAATCAGTTCTTCCTCCTTGAGCAAAGCCAATGCTGCCTGTAAAGCTCCAGCAGTGTGAGCAGGGCCAGCTGCTGTGTGCTCTTCCTGAGATTCACTTAAGAAAAAAGATTCAGGTCCCAAACTACACAACCTTTGGCTCTGGTACCGCGTGCCATGTCTTCTTCTGTTATCCATTACTGCCGAAAAGTCTGTCGTGTTAAATCCACCTCCTCTTCCACATGTGTGGCCCTCCTGAAGCAATGCAGCTGGGAAGTGAGAAGAGGAAATAGCTCATCTCCTTTACCCACACCTGCATGACACGATGCTTTTAGCAGCAGCCAGGACTGGAGAAAGGCAGGGCTGGAGGCTGGTTGTGCTCCCTGTACCATTCATCCTCTCCCCACAGTGATGCAATGATGAAACGTGGCTGTTGGTGAAAGCAGATGTGGCAGCCTGCACAAGTGCTGCAGGATCTTTTTCAGTAAACAGCAGAGCAGAAATGAAAGATTTGTACCTGCTGCTATGCTGAAATAATTTGTTTTCCAATATATCTTTCCAAGAAAACTCTCAAAAGGAAAAGTTTCTTCAACTTAATGTTCCAGCTGGAGTAAAATAAGGACTCCTGTGTTCTTTGATACCTGTTTTCTCTAACAGGATTCTTTGGATGGGGAAAATCTGGCTGATCTCTGCGTAGGTAAGACTTAGAAGCTATCATGAAAGACCCTTCCATAGGGCTCACAGCTGCAATTCTTCCAGAAGAATTCCACAAAAGGTCTTAAACATTTTTTGTTCATACAAACTCAAATTTGCAGGGTCCAGACCTCATAAAATTATGCTGTTTTCCTAACATATTATAAAGTACAAATACTTTCCATAGCAGTATATACTAACCTTCACTATTGTACTCTGACCTGGAGCTAGCTCAAAAACAGCAGGATAGATCGCAAATGGATCCTGTATCACAGAACCAAGAGTGGCAACAGCCTAAGAGTTTCAGGGGGAAAAAAAAACAAATAAGAAAAAAAGATAAAATTAAATCAGCTTATTGTTTTCACAATAAAGGGTTACCTAAAATAGGAGGTATACATCACTGTTCTATCCCTTCCCATTTCACACATCTCTAAAGTATGTGACTTAAGTATAGGACTTAGCTAGAATAAACACTCCATGTTTTCTAATTACCTTGATGAAAGCAAAAGGAAGAAAGGTGCTGTCTCCAGAGACAAATGTTCACGTCAGGAGCTCTAACACACTTCATCACAGAAGAAACCTATAGCTTTGGAGAGTGGAGCTTGATGATCTTTAAGATCCCTTCCACCCTAAGCCATTCTATGGAACAGTTATGCCTGAGCACAGGAGCTGTATCTGTTTCTATGTGCATATGACGGTGAGCTGGATGTGCAGTATTTCAGGAGGGATAACCTGGCACATCAGGTATTCCAACAGCATTTACTTCCAACGCATGAAAGGCCAATTCACCGGTCACATTTTATCTTTGTCCACACCATTAGACGCTGCTTTGTGATGGCAAGCTAAACAAAAAGCAGCACTGGAGAGGACTGCTAGGGCCTGGAGGTGCAGCCAGGTCAGTAAGTGATATTTTTGATGGGCAGGGAAACAGCTCAAGCAATGCTAGAACTGATTGCATTTCTGTTCCCTTTATGAGTAACAAACTGACTACTCCTCCCAGACGTGAGTCAGAGCGCAAGCAGGAGGACAGACAGGGAGACCAGGCTGGAGAATAAATGTGAATCCCTGAAGGAATGCAACAGTACAGATGTATCCAACAAGGCCTCAAGTCTTTGGTGCTAGTATACCATCATTATCTCAAAAGCCTTCACAGCAGGGCACCGATGCCATACCATGTCCATGGACAACGGCTTCAAGTTGCACCACGGGAGGTTTAGGTTGGATATCAGGAAAAAACTTCTTTACAGAAAGGGTTGTTGAGGAATAGGCTCCCCAGGGAGGTGGTTGAGTCACCATCCGTGGATGTGTTGAAAAACTGTTTGGATATGGTGCTCAGGGACATGATTTAGCAGAGGGTTGTTAGAGTTACAGTAGTATGCTTAGGTTGTGGTTAGACTTGATGATCTTTAAGGTCTTTTCCAACCTGAGCAATTCTATGATTCTTTGATTTTCCTTCTCATCACTCACCCTGAAATTAGGAGGTGGCCAGGCCTCTTGTGGCATTATGCAGAACTTCCCAGTGCTAAATCCCTCATTTCTGCATGCAAACACTATTGCTTTTATTCCTCCAACAAGGCAGAAACCACAGTCTATAATACGAGGCACTGCAATGAGGAACACAGAAAATCATTTATACAGATAGTGAAAGGTAGCAGATGGCAAAGCCAGTTAGTTCTTAAACAACTTTTTAAAGACAATGCTGCCACATATGAGCATGTCATCCTAAAAAGTCTTACGCTCTTTCCATTTGAAAGTTAAATGGTATGAGTTGTGTATTTCTGCATTCATCTTACATTTGAATGGTGCTTCGTACTAAAAAACTCCATTGCATGATGGCAGTAAGGTGATCTTTCAAGAAGATCAGTGTAACAGGATGGCTGTATTTAAACAAAAGCAGTGTTGTGGAACAGTTGCCTTGGTTGTTGCAGCTGAGGTTAAATATTTGGGAGATGAATTCAACAGGTCTGCCATATCAATATATGGTGAATGCAACACAGAGTGAATATTAATGAATAACAGTAAATATTTATAACTAAAAAGTAATTCCTTAATGTTTACAGTTAGAAGTTTAGGATTGGCACGATATGATCATAGAAGAGTTCCTTTCTCTAGTACAGTGAAAGAAATGAGCTCCACGTGGCACGTACAAATAATTGATGAAAAAAATGACAGGATTGCATTTTAATAGCGAAGAAATCTATTCGGAGTGAAAATGAGATGGATGGCAAAACGTAGAAAAAGCATTGCCACATTTATCCACATTTGTTTTGCAACATAAAATGGAAACAGTCAAATAAAAAAAAAATCCATTTAAAATAAGAGAAACTTAAAAATTGGACATTACTGACGTGTTAGCACTGGAGGTGGTCTTTTAGCTTGAACTGGGATCAGAAGAGGTTCCGCTACTTGAGTCTCCACTAATATATGATCTTCATAGTCTGCTAGACTGTCAGGAACAAATTGGACTGTATACTGGCAGGTCATCCCAGGAGCAATCATTCCTCCCTTTCCTGGAAATTTTCCTTGGAAAAAAAAAAATGCAAAGAAGTAAAAAATCACAACCTCCCAAAGTTGGCGTAGGTTTTCCTGATCACGAGTCTCTCTGGAAAGGTGCCTGTAACCTCTCCCCATGTATTGCCTAGGTCAAGCTGATGAAAACCACAAAGGGCCTGCCAGTGCATTCTGTGCATATGTCAATCTTCCACTGAACTCAGAAGAATTTTTTTTGGTCTGAAATATGCTTCTCATAAGTACAGAAATAAAATGGGGAGAAGCACAGACATGTTATTACCCAGTTTCCCTCTGCCACAAAACAAAATTTACAGGTGTGCATTTAACTTTCAAACATTCCTACAATGCTTTGACCACAATAGCACAATCCCCTTAGATAGTCTAATCTCATGCCTCTCACGTAGGAAGGAGATTTTAATTGCTCTTCCTCAACCGAATCTTTCTTGCTGCAATTTATGCTGTTTCTTGACCTTTCTTCACACTAATTTCAATGGACTCTAAATCTGTTCCTAGATGAGTTTTGGCTAAGCTTCAGTCTAGATATTCCATCAGATGCATCTGATTTCAAAGATTTTAATGTTAATCTTCTCAAATAATTCATTAGGACTTTTGAATCTGCTTTTGAGTTGCATGTGAATGGTCCCAGAAATGCAAAACAACATTAAGTTTCTAAAGAGCTGAGCAGACCACTGTACTATCCAGAGCAGTACAAAGCACAGAGTCTCTGAAAACCCTTTGTTGAAGCAGATACATTAGATCTTCTAAGTAAGTGTTATGATCTTAAGGGCAGTAAAAAGAACACTCACCTGGCCCAATGGCAAACACTGAAGTAGAGGGAGGAATGACTCTTACATGGTGACATGTTGAAGTGATGTTCTGTAGCTCTACAGTCACCTTCATTTAAAAAGAAAATACAATACTACATTGTGTTTATTGTCACTCATTATAAGGGTTGCAAATCCCTATTGCTTTGCAAGTAGTACCTCATTTATCATCAGGACAGGCCTTAAAATCAGGAATACTGCAAAAGCTGAAACGGATCATTTTTCTCAATTTATTCAATGAAGTCTCTATCAAATACTACCAAAACCAAGTAGAGATTGGAAAAGATTCTCTTTAGTTAGTTTTAGTTGCATGTGTGAAAGGATATCTTGAAAAAGATAAAGGCTCATTAAATCAGTATAAAGAAGAAGCTCAGATTTCTGTTGAACTGAGGGATGCCAAAAGATTGGGTGAAATACGTAGATCGTGGTGGGACAAAATGCTTCCCAGTGACCAAACAAATTCTCTACAAAGAAGTTCTTACCTCATAAACCTGGCCAACTTTATAATCAGAGAACAACACAGTGGGTGGATTGGCAAGAAACACAGGAACAAATGAGGTATCACTGAAAAAGGAAAAAAAGAAAGAAAGAAAGAAAATGACATTATTTTACTGCTAGTTCTTTGAACATTGACAAAATGAACATTTTCAAAGTGTATACTTTAGGAAAAAAAATGTAAGAGGCCAGATATTTTAGCTTAAAAAACACATGTGTAAATCCAAAGTAATTCTACATGGAACTCCGTGAGTTCCTGCTCAGAAGCAATAAAATGTAGACACTGCTTACCCTGTGTTACATTCTGCTTCTCTGCTGCTTATGATCTGTTCCACCTGTCCTTGAGACATGACAAGAGATTTGCCTCCATGAAGAGCATTTGGTGGGAAAAAGCGGGGATTCTTCAGAAAATTCTGTCTTTTCTCAAGCTTGGCAAGGTAAGCACGCTCTTCTTCTTTCTCTGCTTTGCACTGACTGCCTTTCCAGTCTGCCTTCTGCCAGGCACTAGATTTCTTCAAAAAACAAAGAGATCGTGATGCAATATTTAACTCTGAAACTCTGAGGATAATGGAAAAGATAACTGTACATGGCTTATGAAAGCATCAAAACTTGAAAGAAAAATATATTTCTCTTTTCATAGAGTTATGGAATGGCCTGGGTTGAAAAGGACCACAATGCTCATCCAGTTCCAAACCCCTGCTATGTGCAGGGTCACCAACCAGCAGACCAGGCTGCCCAGAGCCACATCCAGCCTGGCCTTGGATGCCTGCAGGGATGGGGCATCCACAGCGTCCTTGGGCAACCTGTGCCAGTGCCTCACCACCCTCTGTGTGAAAAACTTCCTCCTAATATCTAACCAAACCTCCCCTGTTTCAGTTTAAAACCATTTCCCCTTGTCCTATCACTATCCACCCTCATAAACAGCCCTCCTGTTTATATGCTCCCTTTGAGTATTGGAAGGCCACAATGAGGTCTCCCCAGAGCCTTCTCTTCTCCAAGCTAAATAAGCTCAGTTCCCTCAACCTTTCTTCGTAGGAGAGGTGCTCCAGACCAGTTCTTAGCAGACCAAAGAGAAAAAATTCTGGAGCCAAATCAGTAATGCAAGACATTCACTTTTTGTCCCAGGATTAGCAATAGTCCCTACAATTCTGACAGACTAAAAGCAATAAATCCATTAAATGTACCTTACTGGTCTTTTTGGTCTGGTGGTAAGAGTCTGGAGTTGAAGGTAGAGTTAATGTGGATAAAGAAACACTTGGTAGATGACCAGTTATTTTCTGGAGGTGCGCAGACATCCGTTCACATGAATGTGAGGAAATGCGCTGCTTAAAACTGAATGTCTCCTTGACATAGCCAGGTTCTGGTTTTCCTGTAATTCACAGGAAAATGTAGTTTTGAAAGAGAAGAACATGAATGATAAGCATTTATTCTAAGCCCAGGCATAGGAGTTTATTTTGGTCTTGTCAATGGTAAAATGATACCCTGCGAATCCTCTCAAATTTCATTTGTTTTTATTGCTTATTTTGCACAAATGAAATGAAGTAATTTAATAACAAAACTTTTATAAGCATCAGATAAACAAGCTATGTAGAAAGAAAGCTATATTACTGTCAGAAAGCTGTTTTAATCTTACAAGTGGGACTTAAAGGAGCGTCCTCTTGGGCTTACAGTAAGTTCTATATGATGATTGAATGATAGTCAGAAGATTGACATAAACAAGATGGATCGTTTCAATCCATGCTCTTATTCTTCAACAGTGAAATTGAGGATACCTGTTTAGATTACTGACTTTGTTTTGAATTACAGTAGGTAAACAACCCAAATCTCGGAATTTCTGATTCAACAGCTTAGTCTGAAAGGTCTATGAAGAAATCTTGACAGTGTTCCAAAGATTTCCATAATAGTCTTATGTATGGGAACTGCTGAGTCACGGCCTGAACCTCTGATTGATCACCTGAGGCGAGCCATGAGCCAGCCAGAGGAGCACAGCTGAAGGCAATTCACCTGTGCTGCTGGAAGGGGTGGAGCCTGGTTGCACCCCTCCTATACCTATTTAAGAGCTGGCTACCAGTGGGGAAGGATCTTGTCTGGAGATCCCTCCTTCTGGTGTTTTGTGGTGAGCCCAGCCGAATGGTAAGCCTTCCATTTTATTCTCTTTTGTTATCATTGTCCACTTTGCCTAACTCTCTTGATTATATTGTGATTGTAACATCTTGATTTCCATTGATTATAAAGTCTTAATTTGAAAATTAAACTGAAATACTGACTAATCAGAAAATTTTAATCTCAACCTACAGAACACAGTTTTATCTTGTTGAAAATGTTTTTTGCCTTGATATAACCACTTCTCTACTTCGTATTCAACATGTAGTTACATCAATATGCAAATGAAATTGAATAGAGGCAGAGAAGTTACAATTAATACGGAACTGCAAACAAATGTGTGACCACCATTAAATTTAAACTCATGAACCCATTAATTCCAGAGGACAATAATTTTAATTTACCAATTCTGTTTTGACACTGTCCCTTTAATACCTTAGGTATTAAAAGTACTTAGGCTGTTTTACACTCTTTTAAAGCAGAAGGAATTTTTATCTTGGAATATATTGCTCTATAAAAATATACTCAGATCTGTGTCCTCCAATGCTTCAGTTCTTGCAGGTTGTGCTAAAAAGTCCCAGTTATTCTCTTCTGTAAAAGTTACCTTTGGGTGCTCTAGTAACAGGTAATCTATCAGTGATGTAATCATCAGGACAGGTTAAATGGTTTTTTCTGAGAAGTTCATTATCCACAATCCACCTAAAAGAAGATGCCACTGCAACAGCAAAAGATGAAAACAAAGATAAGCACTGAAGCTTAGCCCCTGAAAGTCAACCCAAAATTCTGCTCTCTTTTTAACTCACTATCAGGCAATATCTTTGGATAGATAAACAATCTATTATTTTAATCCCAGGATGTGGACATGTGTCTCCACAATTTTAAATTCAGTTCAAACTCAGCTGTTCAGCCAACAGGGAAACATACAATTTTTGTTACTTGTTGATATATAGCAAGGTGTGTATGTTTGTTGTGAGTTAAGTGGGTAAGCCATTGACAGCAAGTTTAATACCCTGAAAACAACCTGGTCATTTAATTTCTAACAGTGTTAAGCAGATGTTACCTTCCTCGAATATCTGCACAAAATCAAAGTTGTTCTGTCAATGTAAAGCTAAACTAGAAGCACATGAGCCTCGTGACAGCCCCATCATTGATTTCAGACCAATGTTGTGTTCATCTCCTGGTACTACGGGCACATATAATGGGGAGAGACAGCATTTCCAGAGTCCTCACCTGGTGGTAATCCCATTTTGTGGAAGTCTTTCCCAGCATCTCCCTTAAGCACATTTAGGGCCCTTTCTTCTTCAGCTTTTGCTTGAGCCTGTGCCTGAATGATGTTCTCTTCTACTATATCAGCTTCTGTCAGTCGGCGGTTATACTCTGCTACAAGCTGTCATAGGCAAGGGTCAGCACGGAGAAATAACTGTAATTTAACCCGTCACAAATAAATATTCAATATCTCCTTACAGAGAAATGTTTTCTATTTGTCTGAGTGGTAGACAGAGCTTGGTAAAATATCATTAATTCACAAGAACAAATTGTCATGCTAAAATACCTTCACTACTTTCATTTAGCTCGAGCTGCTTTAAGCAGCAGTATCCAACTGCCCGTGTATCAACAAGAATATGTGAAAGATGAGGAGAAATGTGTATCATTTACCTCAGTTGGTGTCAGAGCACTTGTAGCCTATTTATGGGTTTTCTATTGAGCTTTTATGTCAGAAGATTTAACCATTTGACTGATTTACTTATTTTTAATAGAGCAGGATCCGTTCAGCTAAAATTGCATGCTTCTTCCTGTCCTGCTTACTGTGAGTTCCCTCCACTGTCAATGAATCCAATGGATCAGACAGACTGTGCCCCATAAAGGCCCTATTTTTTTTATTTTCTGACAATATAAGTGAGCCTTGGGTGACAGGTTCAGTTCTCACACAGAAGTGGGAGACATGTACTGTCAGCTGAAATAAATCTTGGTCAGGCACACAGCATCAGAAATCAGTATTCACATCTATTACTGAAAACATGCTGTGAGTGCTCATGTATTCATTTATTGATGCATTCAGACTTGCCCTCTCTTATTTTATAGAGGACCTTAAAATTAATAACAGAGTCTCAGAATCATTAAGGTTAAGGAAAAGCCATCTACGATCACCAAGTCCAACCATCACCCCAGCCCCACCATGCCCACTGACCACATCCCTCAGTGCCACATCTCCATGTTCCTTGGATACCTCCAGGGACTGTGACCCACCACCTCCCTGGGCAGCCTGTGCCAAAGTGTTACCAGTCCTTCTGAGAAATTCTTCCTCGTATCCAACCTGAACCTTCCCTGGCACAGCTTAAGGACATCCTGGCCACCTGAGCACACTGCTGGCTCATGTCCAGCTGGCTGTTAGCTAACACCCTCAGGTCCTTTGCCTCCATGCAGCCTTCCAGCCACACTGCTGCAAGCCTGTAGCCATGCATGGGCTTGTTCTGTAGTGCAGGACCTGGCACTTGGTCTTGTTGGACCTCATCCAACTGCCCTCAGCCCATCAATCCATCCTGAATTTGCGTGTCATCATTGTACTGTATTGCCCCTATTTTAATATAGGTGAGACTGAAGCCTGCACAAAGTAACAAAAAGTAACCCGAACAGAGCTCCAAACTCTGCCTTGATGTTGCCTTGTACCTTCTGCAGCTCCTCTGTAAAGGCCTCGTGATAAGCATCATCTCCTCCTCGGGACTTGAGCCAGTTTGCCTCTATGTCCGCCCCTATAACATCTCCAGTGTACAGGTCCTTGAAGGTGCTGCTCAGCAAGTGGGAGATGTCCTGAGGAGAGAACGTGAGGAGATGAATGTTTAAAGCCCATATGTGTATGGAAGAAGAGCTCCGTGTGCCTGCCAGACGTTACCTGTGAGCGGGTGGAGGGGCTGCGCTGCTCCATGGCGGCCTCCGCTGCCCAGAGACCACTGCTGCCCGTTGCTGAGCGACCGCACGGGCGGCGAGAGCTGGCCCAGAATGAGATACAAGGGGTGAACCTCCCAGCTGTTCCTCACTGCTCACCCAACGCCCTTCTCACCACTGCAGCAGCTCCGTTGTTATCAACTGTCACTTTAAGCAGAGCGGTTGATCTAGCATCATAGCCTCCAGGAGACGCTCATACAGCCTTTCTGCCCTCTGGGTTGTTTCTGCCTCCTTCATTATCAACCTGAAATATCATCACTCTTCCCCTCAGCCCGTGCTAACGTCATGGCTGTGTACGCTGGTTGCTAACAACAGCTGCTTGAGTGGGTGATATTTCCTTAGAAACCGGCCTTGCAGCGGCGCTTTGTGTTTGCCCTGCCTCCTCTCTCTGTTGTTGTTTTTCCTTCCCCTGCGTCGTGCTGGAAGTGAAAGAGGCCAATATTGCTTCTTCCTTGGTGCCCTCCTCCAAGGGCTTCTTCCTTGCTGTCAGAGCAGCTGGGAGTTGGATGCGCTGGATTGCTGGGCTGGGGGCAGTGTGAGGTTCAGCACAGATAAATGCCAGCTCCTGCATTTTGGTCACAACAACCCCGTGCATCGCTGCAGGCTTGGGGCAGAGAGGCAGAAAGCTGCGTGGAGGTGGAAGACCTGTGGGTGTTAGCTGAGCCAGCAGTGTGCCCAGGTGGCTGAGAAAGTCAGCGGCATCCTGGTTGTGTCAGCAGGAGCTGTGAGGGGTCTGGAGCACAAGTGTGATGGGAGCGGCTGAGGGAGCCGGGGTTGTTCAGTGTGGAGAAGAGGCTCAGGGAGACCTCAGTGCTGTTTACAACTGAGAGGAGACTGTGCTGGGGTGGGGGTCGGCCTCTGCCTCCAGGTAACAGTGATAGGACGAGAACTGATGGCCTGAAGTTGCACCAGGGGAGGTTCAGGTTGGATATTAGGAACATTTTCTTGTCTGAAAGACCAGTAATGCATTGGCACAGGCTGCCCAAGGAGGTGGTGGTCACCGTTTCCAGAGGTATTCAAGAATCATGCAGATGTGGCACTGAGGGACATGGTCAGTGGGCACGATGGGGTGGGTTGACAGTTGGACTTGGTGGTCTCAGTGGTCTTCTTCAACCTTAATGATTCTAGGACTCTGATTCCTGCAAAGGGAATTTGCAGAGTTTTAATGGTGGCACTGTGATGGGCAGTGTGCTGGTGTGCTATTGCCCTCTGATGGCCTTAACCTGCAAGTGGCCATCACGAAAACAATTTGCTAGCATTTGTTCATCCAAGAACAGATCTGCATGAGGCCTCGGGTGCAAGCCCCAGAATGGTGTTTGCAGGCATGTCACACGTGGCTTTGTGCCTGCACCTTATCACAAACCTTAGTTCCTCAGTGCAACAAAAGCTGTGTTTCACCATTCAAATACAACACCAGATTTGACTCTGAGGAATGCTGTGTTTTCAGTTCCCTGTGAAAACTGAAACTTTCCCAAGGGAAAGCTCAGCAAGTCTGCAATGTCCTGTTCCAAAGGTTACAGCAAGTCAGAGCAATTGCTGTCATCTGACAATGATAGGGCCATGTTCATGTGTTTTCAAATGGGAAAGCTTCACTGTTTATTTCTGGCTCGTAGGTATAACCTTGACTTCCTAAGTAGGTTGGAACATCCCTATTTTGACTTGTTTCCATATCAGAATTCCAACTTTTCTCATCACGTGCTGTTACAATTAATTGCAACATCTGTTTGCTAGCTGTTAATAAAATCCAGCATTTTTTAAAGAACTAATTCCCAGCTTTTCAGAAAGCCACAGAGCAGTGGCAGATGTTTTTGGTTAAAATAGTATATAGATGGACATGAAATCTGACTACGGCAAAAGCTTTCTGTACTTTCACCTTCACTGCCTTTCAGTAAAACTGCCAAGCAAATCATCTCAGTTTTGAAGCTGGATGCCTTTTTTTCCAATTGCAATCCAGAAACCCATCATTGAATCTGGAAATGGAGATGAGGTCCTTCTGTCAAATGCTTGGGAGATCCTCAAGATCTGTTAAGGACTGTACAGTCATTTCCCATATGACACTGGTTTACTTTTGGTTAGATCTCTGTTTTTATGCTGCCACCTCTTATTCATATAAAATTTAAAATTACATGCCACTGTTCCTTTGTAATGCTATTTAATTCACTTATATATTCACTTTCCCGTATCATAGAATCACAGAGTCATAGAATGGCTTTGGTTAGAAGGGACCTCAAGAATCATCAAGGTCCAAACCCCCTGCCACAGGCTGGGCTGCCAACCTCCATATCTGATACTAGACCATATGAATACTATAAAAATTAAGAACAATTTGCATATGCATCACCCACTTCACGACCATTACTTCAAAAGTCTGAAGAGGGTCTTGTGCGTGTAAGAAATGGTAAAACCCCAAAGAGAAACTTTGCATTTACACGTGTAATCTGTCCAAATAGAGACCTTTCTCTAACTGCAATGCATGACTTCTGCCCGACATTTCAATTGGAGGAACTGAAGTACTGCTGAAGTCTGGATTTTCCCACTCTTTCCATATCTTGCCACGTTCATATTGCCTTCCTATATTTGTTTTTTTTCAGACTCTCCTGGTGGGATATAAAGGTCCATCCCACCAGAACCTTTAGATGATCAGCTGTTGTCCATGCTATCTTCTGGTAGTAATGTGTTGTCAAAGGCTCCTTCCTGATGTGACCTAACAGAATCACCTCACAGACATGTGGTGATTTGGTCAGGTGTCCAGGTCCCAAATGACACTATGGACAAGACAAGCAACGCTGGTTCTTTCTGCTTGTAAGCTTTGCAAGACTGAGAGTAAGAAAGCATATCTGTCTATATAATAGCTGAATGTGACTTGAATGCAATCAAGCAGCTCAAGTACTTAATAAGTGATGATGTGTACATACCCATATTGCAGAGTGGAACTCTATCTCACACTTTTTTTAACAAGTTCCAACAGTTTTATTTGCCTTGCTTATACTTTATCAATATAACAGATGTTATGACCCAAGCCTGTATTTCAGCCAGTATATTTTTTGTCTGTTTTAAAGCAGTGAGCAGCAGTGCTTGACCAACTATAATCTTAACTCGTTGCTGACAGGTATTCATTAAATATCTAAATATTACTGGACTAATAACAGTGGAATTATATCTTCTGCACAGGAAGGACTGCCCTGTTTTGCATATTTATCACCCAGGTAGCAAAAAACTATTTCCAATTATTGCTACTTTGTCATTAAGGCCTCATTTTGGGGTTTGGGTCTTCACAAAAAAATTCCAACCACCTCTTTGATGAATGATTTCCTTTGACATTGCTGCCCTCCAGCGGTTTTGTTAAGGCTTCCACATATCCAGGAAAGCTTTTAAAAACGTTGTACTAAATCTTTGTCCTGATCAGAGCAAGGAGCAGGCAAAAATACTTCTGTCATCTCAGTCTGACATCTTCTCATACCTGTATATTGGGTAAGATGTATCTGTTCTCCACACTGGCAAAACTATGCTTTATCCCATAATTACTGCGGAACCAGATGCAATCAAAGAGGCATCACTGGAATGCAGGTCTCCATTGGATGCTACAGTGCACATCTGGAACTGAAACTAGAACCAACAGCCTGACTTGAACAGTCAAGTTGGAGACGTGGAAGGTGGGAAGCTAACCTCCCAGGTGAAAAATGCTGAACAGCTCACTTTCTTCCATTGCACTTCTTGTTCTGCCAAAGTTCTGGTTTTGCTTTTGGCTTTTCCTTTTGTGTTTTTTTTTCTTCTGATGTTCCAGTTAGTTTAAAGTTTCATTTCTTACTGATCTTGCCTTGCTTACCATTACTGAGGTCATCTCCAATTCTCTGCCAGGCAGTTAAAATTAACCTGTGACTGGCAGTTCCACCTGGATATGCTATCCACCATTTTCTCCCAGAACATCTTGTGTGCTGTTATTTTGTGGCTGTCTCCCGATGTGAGTCAGCCCTTTCACTCGTTTCCTGTTTACACCTTCCTTGACTTTAAGCCTCACTCTGTTTCCCACACTTCTCTCCTGTATCTACACATCTGTCCTTCACTAAAACATGTTGGTGAAGTACTGCTGTACTTCTGCTGCAATGCTTAAGCTGTAATTTCACTCAAGCCACATGGGATCCTACAAACAGACACACCCAACATGAAGGAGAAGCATGTGGAAAATGCATCCACAAAGGAGTCATTCCTTTCTGACAGTGTCTGGGCAGCCACGTCACCGTGTAATTAAGCTGGAGTGTGCAGGGCTGCTATGGCATTGGACCCAGAACAAGGGGCTCGTACTCCATGATCACCAACACATTCTCATGCTTCTGGGATCTGAGTGGATTATCGACTACAGGATTACTCCCTTTTGTCACAAGTTTTTACATTTAACCTCAAACACTTTACCCAGTTTCACAGTGCCAGTTTTGGTAAGTAAATCCATTTCTTGGCACAGCATCTACAAGTTGACGGACCAGAGTTTCTCCCTCTAGATCTTAAAGACTTTGCAGTAACAACAAGATGTAACTGATGCTTCATTGTGTTCTTCCACCCTTCAGGGGCATCACTCTGTCTGTATCCCACATTACACTGCAGATTCTGGGATTGCATTGGTTGTCAGAAAACCACGGCTTAGTCCTGTCTCTTGGTGTCCTAGGATCTTGGTACTTCACCCTGGTCGAGATGGAATGAGGTCTGAATCTTTTGGGGCAGAAGATGAAAAAGACCCACCTCCAGTATGTTAAGGTACAGTGAGGAACTGCTGCCTGATTTAGAAAGAGAAGAAGCCCAAACAGCCCTATTTTAAGAATTTTTCATCTGAATTTGTCCTCAGCTCTTGGTTCTGTAATAGTAGTGTAAGTGAACTTGTGTTTGAAGCAGATGCTAATCCAGACAGGCCCATTCAAACACGTATAGTGTAAACTGATGAATGCAGTTTTCCCTCTTAGTAGACACACTGGGGGCTAGAAACAGCTTATGGAGATGTCAGGCCAAGTGAGAAGGAAATTTCTAAGGTGAAACTTTTAAAATATCATCTTATTATGAGTTATTTTCATCTCCCAGAAGACTATTAATTTAGACCAAACCCCAAACAGTCTCTCCCGGCTGTGGTGTTTCAGGGTGGTGAATGAAGTGGGCTTAAATATATTTCTATCCATTTATCCTTTGGAACTCAGACATACACAAATGGCCCAGAAGGCCAGCTGAGTTTGGGCTGTGTGGCTGAGCAGGAACATCTC